GTCAGCCTTCCTGCTCCTCTGATGCTGCTTGGCCTGCTGGTTCATCCAGCTCTACACCTTGTTATCTCAGCTGTAGCAGAGAGTCCTTTTCCAGTTTGAATACTTTCTTCACTTATTCTGTTATCCTTTGAAAATTTAAACTGAATATAACCTTGTCCTGAGAAGAGACTTATTGATGACCAGGTATAGTCAGCAATAAACATGCGGTGTTCTCGGTTGGGTCATGCTGCAGTGGGTGCTTATGCGCAACTGCAATGCTGATTCTTTTTGTGGAACTAGGGCTTGTTTTCTAAGTTGCTTCTTTCTCTGTCTTCTCTCTTAAAATTTACTTTCAGATTTGATCATCTGAACCACCATCATCTTGACAGGGAAAGTGTACTTTTTCTTTTAAATTTTAATAAAAATCTGGAGAATTTCTGCTACAGCAGGAATTGAGCAATCATCAAAATTTGGGAATAAAGGATGAGTAGCTAAACATATACCTGTTCATTCTGTGGAAATGTTTCCAGAATAAAAATTTTTGTACACTTGTATTGACTTGCCATTCTTGTGGTGCATTCTTTGAGAGACTTGTATCAGCCACAGAATTTTAGTCTATCTTCTTTTTTGGCGTATTTGTTCAAAAAGGAACTAATGCTGGAAGATAAATTTAGGACAGTTGCTGTTTACACTTTTTTTAGATCTCATTTAGGTTGAGTTATGAGTGACTGTTGAGAGGAGTCATATTAAAGTTGTGCACTTGAGTAGAACAGAAAAATTGTAGCATTGATGCAGAATCATTTTTTAACATAATGTATTGGAGCTCCATGCTGATAAGGGAGCTGGTCCTGATGGACCTTTACAGTAGAATGATTTCAATCATGGATGTGGAGAGGTTTTAACTCTTGTCATTCTGTTTCTTTGGTCATTGTAAGTATAACAGTCTTTGCTAACAATGATTTTGGAAAATGTTTTCAAATATATTTAATGGAATCTGATTTTGAAGGGAATGAATAATATCCAGGGATATAAAAGTTTGGAAAAAGTAGCAAAGGATAACAGTGGGGTGGCAGAATGAAGTGTTGGAAATGGAGCATGTCCTTGAGGGGTCAAAAATTGAATCCTTTGACTTAGATTTGAGGATTACTGGGGGTGTTCTATAAACCTGAAAATATTGAGGCGGAAATCAGATGTGCAAGAAGTTGATATTTGGATAGTTCAAGTAAATGGAAGAGAGGAGGTAGAAGGAACTTAGTAAATTTTACTCAGTGGAACTCCTTTGAACAATATGTTTTTGGCCCAACTAGGAGTGAAACATTGATGGATGAGGATCTGTTGTTGGGGATTTAGGTGGGCCAAGTGATGTATTTGGCTGGAAGGATGGCTCAGTGGTTAGTATTTGCTGCCTCAGCACCAGGGACCCAGGTTTGATTCCAGCTTTGGGTGACCATCCATTGTGTGGAGTTTGCATGTTCTCCCAGTGTTGGCGTGGGTATCTGCTGGGTGCTCCAGATTCCACCTGCAGTCCAAAGATGTGCAGGTTAGGTGGACTGGCTTTCCTAAATTGCCCTGTAGTGTCCAGGGATGTGTAGGCTCGGTGGATTAGCCTTGGGAAATGAGGGGTTACGGATAGAGTGGGTATTTGGGTTTGGGTAGGATGCTCTTCAGAGGGTCAGTACAGACTCGATGGCCTGAATGGGCCCTTTCTTCACAGAAGGGATTCTGTGATGGACTTCATCCTAAATTCTCCTTTTTTTTTTTTTGAAGGAAAGAAGGAGCTGTGATTATAGCTAATGTATTGGCTTCAATTTTTCCAAAACTTTCTTGATTTCAGGCATGGTCCCTTTTTAGGTTGAAAGATGGTGAATGTAATTCCTTTATTCAAAAATGTGGAGACATACAGCAGGAAACTGCAGTACAGTTAGTTTAATATCTGTCACTGGGAAAATGTAGGTGTTATTAAAGAAATTTATAGCAAGGCATTTGGAGAGGCTCAAGATAATTAGGCAGAGTTAACATGGTTTTGTGAAGGGGAAATTGTGTTTTTGAAGGAGTTCTTTTGAGCAAATAAGATGCTGTGAATAAAGACGAACCAGTGGATGTTCTGTGCTTAGATTTGCAGAAGGCCTTGGTAAGGTGCCATATCAAACATTCCTACAGAGAATAAAAACTCATGGTGTAGGATGTAACATATTGGAAGATTGGCTGGCAATCGGGAAGCAGTGATTTAAATGTACATTTTTCATGAGTGGTGTTCCACAGGGATCAGTGTTGGAATCTCAACTGTTTACAAATGATAAATGGTGAGAGATTGCAGAGTAATGAGGTGGATCTGACTGTCCTTGTGCATGAAGTATGCAGGTACAGAACGTAATTAGCAAAGCTAATGGAATGTTTTTTTTGTGAGGGGAGCAGAATACAAAAGTGGAAGCTTATGCTTCTGTTATACAGAGCACTGCTGTATCTGGAGTACTGTGCATGGTATTGGTCACTTCAGTCTTTGAGCCTTCTGTGAATAGGAATAATTTCTTCCCATCTACCTTTTTGTGCATCAGAATCCATCAATCTCCGATTTAAAGTCGACAGTTGATCTAGCAGCAATTGCAAATTTTCAGGAGATGGTTCTAAATTTAGTGCTCCTTGTGTTTTTGCATTCACTAAAATCTGTGGTTGGTGGCTATTCTCGTGAATTGTCTCAAAGTTTACTCACTTTTTGGTATTTGTAGCCACTTGGGTATTTTAGAAACTTGGTGCCTTGAAAACAGCTGTCAATCTGCACCACCCAAGATCTTTCGTACAGCAATGTGGTAATGAGCAAACGTTTTTTTTCACATTTGCTGCACTTGGGGCCAGCACAATGGCTCAGTGGTTAGCACTGCTGCCTCACAGCACCAGGGACCAGGGTTCGATTCCACCCTCGGGTGACTGTCTGTCTGTCTGTGTGGAGTTTGCACGTTCTGCCCGTGTCTGCGTGAGTTTCTGCTGGGTGCTGTTTCCTCCCACAGTCCAAAGATGTGCAGGCTAGGTGGATTGGCCATGCTAAAGTGCCCATACTGTTCAGAGATGTGTAGCTAGGTGGGTTATAGAGGGGTGGAATTGGGTGGGATGTTCTGAGGGTTGGTGTGGACTTGCTGGGCCGAAGGACCTGTTCTCTCACTGTAGGGATTCTATTTTATCCTATTCTATTCTATTTGGTTGAAGGGTAAATCTTGTGTAGGGCACAGGATAAGTGTCCTACTTTCCTTCAAGTTGTGCTACAGGATTTTTTTTTGTCCCTCTGACACGTTTAACTTCTTTCAGAATGGCACTGGAATATTAATGTAAATTTTTTTTGTTCAAGTCTGTACTGTGTGGCACAAATACAGCAATGTCTGGTTGGGACTTTACAGCTGTGCCAGAACAGCCATTAGTGCCCTTGCCTCTAATCCAAAAAAGGCCTGAGTTCAAGTCCCACCTATTCCAGGTGTATGTAATTGCATCTCTGAGCAAGTTGTTTAGGAAATATCTGGTTGTGACAAGAAAGCCACCATTGAACCATGGCTAACAACTTTTTATTTTTTTCCAAGTAGGAAAAGAAGTGGAAAGCAAAACCTGGCAATACTTGTGAATGTCTGACTTTTGAAAGTCAGACTTGAGTCACTGGTGACTGCACTTGAGCCAGAAACTCGAAGATACTTTTGTATTTCTGTCATTTCCAAATGTCCAAGTTTTCAACCTTTTCCTTTTTGAGATTCGTTGCTTAAATTGGGTCAAATTTTCTTTTGTATATACATTGGGAGAAAAGTTATACAAAATTTTATAGCCCTCAACTACTTTTTAACCTGTTACTGTATATGATCGGGCAAATGTGCAGGCATTTTTACTGGGTGCAGAATTTGTATCCTTTGTAGTAATTCGCATTACACCTGGAAACAGGAAATCGCAATGCACCAAATCATGAGCCTTCCCGTTCAACTGCTATTGCAAAGCCTGTGACCTGGCTGATCATTTAGGTTGTCCAGTTAATGTGTCATCTTTTCTCTTCCAGAAAAGAGGGTTTGGCAAAGTGCGGTCGTTGTAAACTGGCATTCTATTGTGATGTAACCTGCCAGGTAAGATTCCAATTGTGCCCTACTCATCCAAATATCACATGGCAAAAATGACATCTAGAAGTGTGCCAGTGACCTTGCCAAGTAATTTTGACTGGCTGTGTTGCTTTGTATCCATCTCCATAAAACGTGCTTCTCTCTGATCACTGTGGTAAATTTAGGAATCAGTCGGGCAGTTTAGAAATCTGTTCCAGAGCTGAGGAATGTCTTGGATGGAGTTAGCTAACATCTCCACAAGGAGCACAGTGGCAAATTACAATTAGTCTTTGTATTCTAGCAAAGGAAAAAAGAAATAATTAACTTGGATTGTTTCTGGTCATTTTAAGAAGTAACCTCTATTATAAAAGTAGGTATCTAGAGTGAGCGCAACAATCATTGGGCTTGGCTTTGATATCTTTGCCTTTGCGATAGGGTAGCCCTAATTTTGGTATCTACAGGCATACGTTAAAGAGAGAATGTGATGGAATGTTTTCCACTTGCTTAGATTACTGCAGCTCCAACATTCAAAACTAGACATCAATCAAGTGAATTTTCCTTTAAGAAAAGTAAACGCAATAACAGATTTTGGAAGACACCTTTGTATCCACTTCTTATATGTACCCTTTATACATAAGGGAGACCAAATGTGATCAGGTAACTGTTTTGCAGAATGCCTCTGTCCAGTCCACAAACATGATCTTGAACTTTCTGTTTGTCATTCCAGTTCTCCACCTTGTTCCCACTCTGATCTTTCAATCCTTTTGTGTGTTAGTGTTCCAATGAAGCTTCGTGCAAGCTTAAAGTACAGCACCTCCTTTCGTTGCTGCACTCTTTAGCCATCTGGACTCACCACTGAGTTCAGCAGCTTTTAGATCATCATCTTTGCCTCAGTTTTGTTATCTCATTTCTTTCTTTATTCACTAATTTCTATATAGATAGATGCTATCCTTTTGAGCACTTGTTTTTATTTTTTTTTTTTGCTTTAACCTCTGCCACAACACCTTCTTCTGTTTTGTCTTTTAATCTCTCTTGTCCTCCACTAATCACAAAACAGTTTTGTTCTGTACCCACCCTTTATTTGCTTAAAACCTAATACATTTCTCTTTTCTCCATTATGATAAATATTTGTCATCAACTTGCCATCAATATCTAATGTGTAATGCTGAATTGAATGTGAGTCTGACATTGGTCTATTTTTGAGGCCAGGCAGTATCTGTGGGGAGAGTCTGATGCAACGTTTGAGTCTAAGACATTGATGAAAGGTTATATCAGTTGTAGGCTCTCCAGATGAATAAATAACTTTCCACAGATGCTGGCTGAACTGTTGAGTATTTCCAGCATTTTCTGTTTTTATTTCAACATGAAGATGTTCACCATGATGTACAGTTGCTAAATGGGAGAGCTTCGGAACAGTTTGAGAAGCAGAAGATGGTATCCAGAAGGTATGGTGAACCATCAGGAGCAGTGGAATTGTATTTGATTGCAATTGATGACCTCATGGACCGGCATATCCCTTATTCTCCATGACTATCAAGTCAGGGGTCTAACCCTATCTCCATGAGGAGAGCATACCCTGAATAGCACCAGGAGTATCCTAAAATGTGGTACCAACCTTGTGAAGCTACAGCACACCCCTATTCATGCTATCAATGGAAAAAAGCTTTTCTTGAAGGCGAAACTAAATGATCTCACATACGATGAATTGGATCAAAACTCTGCTGCATCTGGAGGTGAATAAGTGGACAATTAAACATTAATGAAGAAGAAATTTCCTTAATATTACCACTCTAGATGATGATAGGGCCTAGGGCTGAGATGATTTGCAACTTTCTTGAACTGTTGCGATCCATATTGTGCAGAAACACCCACAATGATGTTAGGGAGGAATTCCAAGATTTTCAAGTCAAGGAGTAACAGTGAAGTTCACAATTAGGATGGTTTCCTTTGTCGTTTGATCTGATAGAAATCACAGGTTTGGAATGAGTGATTGAAACCTTGACAAGTTGTTGCAGGGCATCCTGTATATCAGATGCTTGCTTTTGGTAGTTGGTAGGGGATAATCCAGTGGATCGCTTTCACTTGAATGATGTCTAACTTTCCAAATGTTGGAGCTGCAGTAATCTAAGCAAGTGGAGAATGTTCTATCACTCTCTCATTCACACTCCTTTATGTGTGTGGATGCTAGATAGGATTTGGGATTTAAGGAACTGAGATTTTTCTCTCCCTGCCGAATTCCCATTCTCTTGCTGCCATGTTATTTTGGGTGACTCCCTCAGATGAATTTCTGGTGAATGGTGAACCAACCCCACCTCCCACCTCTGCCCAAAATGTAAAGATGTTGATGGGGGATTCGGTGATGATAATGCCATTGATTGTCAAGGGAACGTGATGATAATTGGGTTCTCTTTGTAGGAGATGACCATTGTGTAGCACTTAAGCGACAAAAGAAAAAACGTTTGTGGACTTATCAGCCCAAGCTTCAATGTTGTCCACGTCTTGATGTTTCTGGCCATAGATTGCATCTCCAGATACTGAAGCATGTGATATTATGTTCAGTAATCAGCAGTGAACATCATCATTTTTGACCTTGTTTTATGTGGGAGGGCAAATCACTGAAGTATTGGGCCTAGAACACACTGTCCTGAGAAATTGTTGCAGTGATACCATGGAGCTAAGTTTGTTTGTTTTTTTTTTTTTTATTTTTTGCCACCAGTACCAAAACAATTTTCTTTTTTTTTTGATATTTGGTGGAGGATTTCCCTTCACTTCAGTTTTTTTTTTTGAAGGCTGTCTGATGTTGCACTTACTCCAATGATGTTTTGAACTCCAGAACAGTCTCTTGCACCTCACTCTGCACGCTAACTGCAATGATCTACGAAGGTGACTCCTTATTAGTAACTTAAAAATCAAGTATGTATAGGATCTGCAGAAGTAAGCAGAATGTCCTTGATGAATGAGGGAGACTTTATCGTAATTGGGATAAGTAGATTTCCCCCTACCTTCTTGGCACTTTTTTCTTCCATCCTTCCTCCACACATTCTCCATTATCCCTGCTTCTCAAAATCCCAGGGTTAGATGGGATTGTTACTTTTGATTGTCCAATGTTTAGTGCAGTTGACCTTCCGTAGACACGGAGTAAGAACAGCAATTTTTTTTTTTTTTGTCGTAATGTTGGCCATGATCAAAAGGCCCTCTGCTCATCTGAGAAGAGTCCCCACTCCTATCTTGTACACTAGCGGGCCTCCCTCAACTTGCAAACAATGAACTTACTTACTGTGCAAACAGTAAACTTCAAAAAGGGTGAGTTGCTCCACACTATAAATGTTCTCTAGGGATTTTCTAGTATACTGTACTACTCAGTCTCTTGGATGCTTTTTAACTGACTGTGTTGCAATGTTGAGATTCTCCTGTATTTGAGTGGAGTAACATGACCCCTCTGGAATGTATAGATCATACGTTGGGAGCAGCAGTAAGAGGACATATTTATTCTACCTGTTCTTTTTGGAATGTGACTGAGAATGATTGAATCAAGAGCTCATCTTGGTATAAATGAATTGGAGTCCATTTGCTGTGTTGAAATTTTGCTTACATTAGAATAGTGCTGTCTGGCTCTTAATTTAAAATGTTTGGAGTCTTCTTACTAAAATGTATCCTTTTTTTTATTTCAGAAAGCCGACTGGCCAATGCACAAACTGGAATGCTCTTCTATGAGCAAATTTGGACAGAACTGGAACCCCTCTGAGACGGTCAGGCTGGTGGCAAGAATTCTGGTCAAACAGGTGAGGTAGATGAACTGACACTCCTCCTCCTTATTAACATTGTAGTTTGGGAAGCAAGCAACGGCTGTGGTGTAATAATACTTGGAAATGTGACTGGACTGCTGACCATCTCTGCTGAGTTAGCGCCTCTTGGCATGGTGCGGTTGTGGTGTGAGTTTGGAAATTAGCTGGGATTCCAGTTCCTGACTATTATTACCCACTGACTTGTACATATTAGTCAGTGTCTAGTCAGAGCAGGATTGTATATAATTTGCCCTGTCTTTCCTTGACTGCTAAACCCAATTGACCAGATTCTGCATGCTGCTGGTCTCCTTATTACAAAATGATATAGCCACAGGTGAAGGTACAAAAAGTTTGAGGGATCCGAGAAGTTATACCTATTTAAAAAATGACTGAATTGACTGAGTTTCTTTTCAGGGTTGCCCTGATAGAGGTCTTTAATTTTTTTTGTGTTGAAAATGGACTGTATTTTAGTTAGTGGCATTCACTGCTGACCTTAATGTGGCCATAGCACATCTCTGAATGGGAGTTTTGCCTTTTCCTGACAGTAGTTTACATGTCCAGCAGTAGAAGTTTGTGTAGTTTTGATGATTATTTAAAGATTGTTCCTCCGAGGTAACGTCAACACTGCAGAATAACAGTTTGTAGCCATTGACAGTTTCACCATTAACAGCCCAGATTTTGCTACGATAATCAGTATGGCTTGGCTTTCGTAGCCTGAAGGCCGTGGAAGTGAATATGGGCTGGCTCAGAATTTCCCGACATCACCAGTTGGCAATTTACTGCCACCTTTCCACTTCTGGGCTGTTTTGAGAAGGTCGATCAGGTGAAAGCTAACAACTCAAAGTGGTTTGGTAGGACGGTTGTTTGTTTGTTTGTTTTCTCTACTAAGATCAGAAGCCAACAGGAATATTTTATTCGGCATGTGGCCCCCTGTGACAGTTGGAGTCCAGTGGATGACTAGAGGTGACTTAATGGTTGGACTCATGAATCAAACTAAACCTCCGTGCCCCTGCTAGCTGCATTGCCATAACTGTGACCACAAACAGATTTTGGCCAGGGTACCCCTTGCTTCCCCACCCTAGCCATAAGGGTGGTGTGACTTTTTTTTTTTTTTTTTGATTATTAGGAGCATACTCTTTCTTTTTCCCTACATCGGTAGCCTGCTACATTTTCTTCCGCACTCTCAGCCCTTCTATTTTCTATCCAGCTCCTGGATCCCATCTGCTGTCCTTAATTTTGATGCTGTAGCAAATTATGTAGCTTTTTTCTTTTTATTCAAAAATCATGGTGTGCATATCATGTTGATGCCATGGAGGAAGAAGATAGAAGAACCAAAAATGGAAGCTTTGCCCCTCCCTGTATTGGAGACCAAAAATAGAGGCCAAAATTACAAGATAATTAGCAAATGCAGTTGACAGTTCAGGAGAAACATTGCCAGGGAGCAGTTATAATGTAAAACAGACCACCACAAGGATATGTTGAGCCAAATAGTGTAGATACATTTAAAGAAAAACCAGATAAATGCATGAGGATGAAAGGGACTGATTTATTATGATGATTGGGATGGGAGGAAACTCCCAGATGCATGTACTGAACAGTCCTACCTGGTTCTTCACAGGATGAACTGTCTGATGTGAAGCTGGAAAGCAGTAAGTACCACCTGTCAAACTTTGCCTTCTTGGAACAAAGGGTGAAGGGACAAATGGGGAGGAAAACGAGGAAGTCAGTAAATATACCCCAATTGATTAATTGTATATATGTTGACAACTTTTGGTAACTTTTGGCCTTACTTTTGTTTTAAAGCAAGATCTTGGCATAATGGACAAAGTGGTCTCTTTCTGTACTCCACATTTCTATGATTTTGTTTTTCCCTAAGCGAAGTAACAGAAACCAAAAGCTAGGTCCCAATGGTGTATTTGTTTACAAAGTATTAATAGCTTGAGTGGATCTTTGATTTTAGATATTCCGTAAGGCTATGATGTTTTGGTTAACTAAAGGATATGTGCTCACCCACATTCATATTAGGACTAGACTGTTCATCCCCATAAGTCCTGCCATTCATAAGACTGTGGCCTCTGCTTTCCTGTCTGCCTCTATATCCTTTGACCTCCTTTTCAATCCAGCTTGTACCTAACTCTGCCTTCAAAAATATTCAGTGACTTTTTGCCTCCACTGGTCTCTTGGGAAGAGAAATCCACAAACTCTTGACACACTTAGAGAAAAGGTTTTTTTTCCATGTTCTCATCTTAAATGAAAGACCCCTTTATCTTTTAAATGGTGTATTTTTTTTTTAGCTTAAGTCTTTCCCACAAAGGGGAAACATCCATTTATTGTCGACTCTCAAAAATAAAATACTGCAGATGCTGAAAATCTGATTTCTTCAAAGCAGAAAATGCTAGTGAAACTCTGGTCCGGTGGCATAAGTGGAGAGAGGAGCACAGTTAATGTTTTGAGTGTGATTTATAACTCTTCTGTAGTGCCCCCAAGGGTCAATAGTTTCAGTAAGATTACCTCTCATTCTTCTAAACTCCAATGGATACAAGCCTAAACTGTCCAACCTCCCGTCACCCCTGGAATCAGTCAATTGAACCTTCTCTGAAATGTATTGCATTTAAATAATAATTGTGACTGTGACTGTATTTAGAAACCATTTTGTGACTTAGTCAAATCCCTGTCAATCTCCAATATGAGGATGCTTTATTTTCTTGGGAATGTTTACTAATTATAGAGCCGTAGAATTATATAGTGGGGAAACAGACCCTTTGGTCAAACTCATCCACGCTGACCAGATATCCTAAACTGATCCAATCCAATTGGCCAGCATTTGGTCCATATCCCTCTAAACCTTCCCATTCGTGTACCCATCCAGATGTCCTTTTAAATGTTGTAATTGTACCTGCCTCTATCTCCTCTGGCAGTTCGTTCCATACATGCACCACCCTCTGAATGAAAAAGTTGCCTGTCAGGTCTCTCTTTCTTTTTTTAAAAGGTCTTTCCCCTCTCACCTTTTAAACCTATGCCCTCTAGTTTTGGACTTCCCTAACTTTGGGGGGGAAAAGACCGGGGCCATTCACCCTATCCATGCCTCATGATTTTATAAACTTCTTTAAGGTAACCCCCTCTGCCTCTGACGCTCTGGGGGGAGAAAGCCCCAGCCTATTTAGCCTCTATAGCTCACATCCTCCAGTTACAGCAGCATCCTTGATTGACTTGGCTTATTTATTTACACAAATGATCAAATTTGCACAGTTTGTTTGATTTCCAGTTAACTCACTTCAGGTTCCGTTGGCTATTCCTTTTGATGTGAAGTTGAAACTTTCTGGTTTATTCTGGAGCTTTTGTAATCTTTAAAATGTAAAAACCCATAAAGGTAAAGAGTCCTGTGCTCAAACAAAGCTGCAGGCATCTGGGTGACATACTGGAGGCCGAGGTAGCATCAGCAAGCAGCTGAGTCGTGTTTTTGTTTTCACTGTAAAGGAATAATGCTGCTTTTCAAATTGACAAACTTTTTAAATGTATGTTGTTCCATAATTTTAAAAATTTGAAGCAAAGCTGAGTGGTGTGTGTTATCTGTGATTGTTGCTCAACTTACTGGATGTGGGCTCAGTGCACAGAAAAAAGCTTTAAGTTCAGGAAATATGGAGTTTTATTTTCAATAGTATATATTTTTGTTGAAATCAACAGGGGACAGATGACTATGACTAATCTCTGCCTGATCATCTTAAATATTGCTATTGTATGACTAACCCCCCAAAATACATGACCTTCTACTCCATTCTTTTTATGTCATGAATAGCTCATTTGGAAATTAGTATTAATGCCAGATGATTAGTCTTCTGTCTGTTGACATATTGATACCTTGCTGCAATTAATACACTTCTAAATTCTGTTTCTCATTTCTTTTCTCTTATAGAAAATGCACCCAGAGAAAACTCCTTCAGAGGAGTTACTAGCTGTTAGTGAATTTGAGTCACGTAAGTATTCATTGCAATTTGTGAAACTAAAACTGAATTATTGTATTCTGTGACTTTCCAAAAGAAGAGAAAGTTTCATTGTTCAAAATTCAACCGATCTAATTGTCACATGCCTCCCAACAGCTTCATGCTGAGTACATTGAGTTCACAGAATTTGGATAAATGTATGAGAGTGGCTCAATGTTTCTCTGTACTTTCATAAAAGATTGACCTGATTCCTACGAGAGTAAGAGAAATTTCAGACTAAGGGTCTGGACTTTCCTCTGAACAGTGATCAGTTTTTGAGGCAGATTTTGGAGTGGGAAATGACTTCTTGAAGTTTACCTCCCACATTCAAAAAAAATTTAACTTGAATTTTAGTTATTTTCCTAGGTCTTTTTAAAAAGTACTAGTCTGTCATTTTCTAAAAGCCTGTTTTGGACCTCAGTGCATCTTCTATCCAAGATTACGACAACTGGATGTGCTCTTCCAATTATTTCCGGTGGGTTGCTCAATGAGATTCAGTGATGACATTTCATAGTCAGTCATAGTGGTTTACAACACAGAAAAAGGCACTTTTTGAGTCTGTGCTGGCCAAAAATAACCTATTTTCCAGCACTTGGCCCATAGCCTTGTACGCTTGAGATCACAAGTGCACGTTTAAAACTTTTTTTTTCAGTCAAGGTTTCTGCCTCTGTCACCCTTACAGGCAGCGAGTTCCAGGTTCCAACCACCCTCTAAGTGAAAAATAGTTTCATCACATTCCTTCTAAACCTGCCCCATACTGTAAATCTGTGCCCCAGTGACTTATTTTTCCCTCCACCAAGGGGACAGGTTCTTTCCTGTATACCCTGTCTATGCCTCTCCCAATTTTAAACATCACCGTCAGCAACACACCCCCCCATCTCCTCTGCTTCAAGGAATACAACCCAAAGTCTATCCAATCCCGTTCATACAGGCAACATCCTAGTAAATCTCCTCTGCACCCTGTCTAGTGCTATCACATCCCTAATTTGCTATTATTTTTATTCTGTTTAAAAGCACTGCTTTGTTTTGGATTTGCCAAAGGGGATCTCTGTCTTGTGTTATGACTGCGAGCATGTTTGAAGCGTTTAGATTGTAGGCTTACTTGGTCATCAGAAGACGTTCTCAGAAACTAGAGTGTTACAAAAGTAACAGCCTGGATTGTTTCCTGACTATCGTGATTAGATTTCAGGCTGACAAAATTAGACAAGAAGAAAAGGAGTATGAACCAGAGATAATATGGGGATCTAGTTGTTGGAATTTTCAAAAATCTAGCTATGAAGGTGAAAATGAAGCTGATATGTTTAGCCATCTTCTTTAAGAGAGATACAACAAATGGATTTTGAATTGAGAGTTATACCCATCTACTGATTAAATCCAAAACAATACCTCTGTTATTAGTTGAAAGACACAGTATTTAATGAGGCAGTGGAGCTCACCTCCAGTATCAATTTGAGGAATAGGAACTAGCCTATCAAGTAGTCATCCCTTCTGAGTATCATAATGAAGTTTACAAGGGACTTACAAAACTCCATTGAGAAACCATTTGGGTATTGGGATAACAGCTTAAGATATTACAACCTTGTTAATGGCCTGGATATTGTAACCATGTAGTCAATTTTTCCCTGATGTGTCATACATGTTAGGTAGTGGAGAATTCCCAACCTTCACATAGACCTGCAACTTTAAGTTCCACCACCAGCTTTTGGAGGACTGTTCAGAAAAGTCGGAGGAGATTGTGTCAAATCATTACCTAAGACCAGAAATGGGAATCAGTTGTCTTTTGAATGATTATGGATATTTCCGAAAGGTTTCCTGAAGCAGTGCCCTTGGGGACAATTAACTGCAAAAGTGTTAGTGGAATAATTAGTTTTTTTTAAACCAGATATCGTACTTTTACTAGGTAATCAACAGATCAAATTTTATAATGATAATATTGGAAGAAATGATTACTTTGGTAATAAAACCATTTACACCTTCAATTCATCACCCACAATCTCAAGGTGTATTGGAAAGATAGTCTTCAAAGCATTTGAAAGCTATGATTAAAGCCAAGAATATCCTAATTATTGGGATAAGGTTAGTTTCTTGCCATTGGTGACACTGCTAATGAGTCCTCCAAACTCTTGTTTTTGTTTTGAACAGATAAATGAACATGAAGTGGGAGGCCACTTGAATTGTAAACCAAATCTCTGACTACACTTCCAACCTATGTTTTTTTAGAGAGTCTGACGAAAGCCAGAGAGTTCGCAGAAAGCATTTGAAGAGTTCTAAACAAACAATAAAAAGTAGAACAGATTTAAAAAAAAAAGTCAGTTTGATATTTCCTTGCTGGAGATGTGGTTTTACCTGTCTCTGGGGAACTGTTTTAAAAGCAAGATTCACTATCTTTTACCAAATCAAAAAGAAGCTCAATGATGTGAAATGTGCGAGAGTATTTCAGACAAGCGAGAGAATCAGCATGTCATGTAAACACATTCAAAAGATATGAGAGTCACAACAGGCAGGAGAAAAATGAACTTAACAATGTTGAAGTCAGGAGTGAAATAGAGAAATCAAAACCATTTGGGAATGAATCAGAAATTGAAAATTAAATAGTTTATCCTCTAACAATCAGATTGGAAAAACACATGGGTGCTTAAAGGCTACATGAGGTGAAGTGATTTAAACAATCATAAATTTTTGTGGGAATAGGCCAGGTAAATGTTTTTGGTGTTCGCGATATTAATGTGGTAGATGCTTTACCTATAAAGCAGCACCAGTACAAACTCCCTCCAGAGCATGTGGATCAAGTGAGGGAAGAAATGAAGTTAATGGTGGACAGTGACATTATTGAACGGTCACGGTAGCTGGACCTCCGCTATCGTGGTGATGCTGAAACCCAGATGGGTCACAACTTTGTGATAATTAAGACAGAATTGTTAACATGATGATGAAAGCAGACTGTTATCCAATGCTTGACTGGTGGACTGTATTAAACAAATCTGGCATACGTGATCTGTCAAAAAAAATTGTTAAAAAGATATTGTCAATTCCATTTACGGATAAAGCTGATATTTCTTTGGCTGCTGTAACACGGGATGGCTCTTTGTTTTGGAATGAAAAATGCACTGGCCACATTTCAATGGCTAATTGATAAAGCAGTCGAAAGATTAGTAATAATACCGTTTGCATTGACAAGTTGATTGCAGTTTTGCTAAACTTGTGAAGAGCACTTGCACCTCTTTGATCAGCTATGAAAAGGCAGTTTGGTTATAATGAATTTGCTAAGGTTAGGGAGACTTATTTTGGGCGATATCTTGGGACAAGGCCAAGTAGCGCATAGAGGAGTAAAAGTGCAAGCTAGGACAAACTGTGAAAATATTGCATGAAGTTGGCATGAGTGAATTTTATTACAGATGTGTTCTGATCTTCATCACTGACATAGTTGTTGAAAAATGTAAGAAAATCTGAATGGACTCCAGAGTGTCATAGTGGCTTTGAAAATGTGAAAGTTGTGCCCAATTATGAGAGGCCATTCAAAGTGGCTGTTGATACCGGTGACGTTGGTGTAGGGGTTGCAGGATGACCTGTCGGCTAAGAAAACTGATCCCATATCAATAAAAATTGTTAACCATTGAAAAACTGACATTGATCCTTCATCGACATGGAAGAAACTGTTATTTATACAGACCACAATCATTCGACCTTTTTTAATAGGAAATATTTCGGGACAAGGACTTGCGATTATTGCAAGTAGCTTATTCTCTAATATATAAAAACTGACAGGACTGCGGATGCTGTAGATCAGGAACATAAACAGAAGTTGCTGGAAAAGCTCGGCAGGTCTGGCAGAATCTGAAGAAAACCATCAGCGTTAATGCTTCGTTTCCAGTGACCCTTCCTCAGACCCGCCAGACCTGATCAGCTTTCCCAGTACTTCTATTTTTGTTTTCTAGCTGTATCTCTGTAGAAAAGAGACAATTTTGGTGCACACATTTGAAGGACAGTTTTGTGGGTGCCTATGAATAGTGTAAAACATGGTTGCTGCATTACTCACTATGCTTAATGCCAAAATGTTAGTATGGTTAGTGTGACGTGTGTTAAAATTTGTTTGTCAGGAAGATGCCTCTTAAAGACTTTCTTTCTTTGTGGGTAGATGTGATTTGTATATATTTTTAGTATTTTATTTCTGTTGCATTTTTCAACTTGACCTCGCGGCATATGGATTTTTGGAGTCTGAAGGATCTTTGCCTAATTTCTGTAGCTATGGTAATGTCTTTTAAAAATACACCTTGAGAGAGGCAGTTTTGAAGATGACCAGGAATCTGTATACGTGTTTGCTCAAACTCTCCTAAAGAAAACGGTGCATTAAGTTTTCAGATTCTGAAGGTGGGTGGGGAGAAAGCAGTGGCAATAATGTAAACACCCAGAGCTTGGAAGAAGTTAAACATTTTTTTTTTTAAATTTCAGTTCCTGCAGTTGTGGAGAGTTCTTTGTTTTACACAGCTAGCTTCAGCTGTTGCTCCTGATACAAGGGGAAGATGGCTTGGCTTAGCTTAACTTAGACTTGTTAAGAATACATTACCTTTAGTGTAAAGAATTGAGTAAAAAGCCCAGACCAGGAGTGTTTGGTTAAAACCCAGAAGGGATTATTTGAAGTTGAATATGTTTTAAGCTCAGCCTCTTCCTTGATTCATCATATAACTATTAGATTCTCATGACCAGGAATTAAAGCCACAGCTCAGCCAAGCCCTTAGTGGATTAGAGGAGGGCTTTTTCTCAACAGACTTGAATGTTATCTCTGTTTTCTCTCACAGATGCTGCGAGACCTGCTGAATTTCTCCATCAATTTCTGTTTTTGTTTCAGGAATTTTTTTCTCTAATGTTTGAGTATTGTAATGGTATTCGGTTGGGATTAATGAGATTTTTTTTACTGGATTTTGAAGTCTTTTAAAGTGTTATGTTTGCATAATAAACTTCTGTTGTACTTTGAGTCAAATCTGCAGCATCACGTGATAGTCTTTTACTGAAACAATCTCACTTAAAAACAAAATGACCTAAGTCTGGGATCTGATTTGTCCAGTAATAATATCAGCTGGGTTCATGACCATATTCATTCTGTTACTTAGTGTAGGAAGGATTGTCCTGTTAGCCTCTATGTAGTACCATCCTTCAATTTGGCAGTGCAGCCGTTATACCTGGCAAAGAGGTGGTAGCCACTCAAAAATATGACTGAGGAGCATCAGAAATGACCCAACTTGAGGAATTTGGTGAACTACTACCAACAAATGTTACCAGACAAATGGCATGTGCCACTTAATGCAATCTGTTGTTGAAGCTGGTAACATCTAAAATGTCCTAAATTGTTGCAGCAGAAGGCTGATCAACCAAAAGTGGAATTAGTGACCTGAGGTAATAGAGGGATGACTAAATACTTAGTGAAAGAAGTAGGTCTGTAAAGAAGGTGATTGGTCAAGAGAGTTTGGAGAAAATTCCAGACCACTGATACTGGATAACTTGAAGGCTGGCTACTGTTAATAGATGATAGTGAGAAGGTATGCACCAGAAGATTGTGTCACGGCAGATTATGATTTTACTGATTAGCTAAGTGGTTTTCATCCACAAGTATGTGAACGTTTTAAACCAGCTTACCCTCTGTTTACTTCCAGCAGCGACTGGAGTGCTGGGCAAACCAGACGACATGGGATTAGTGGAGTCTACAGTCAGCTGAATTTTTATAGTGTGTGTAAGGTTGAGTGCCAATCGGAAGAGCAGGCATACCTTAGGAGACAAAAAAAAGGAAGTTTGTCATTAAACTTGCCTGAAAAATTGATTTTAAAACCTCCAGATGTGAGAAAAGGATCATGAACATTACTAAATTGTTTGTTTTTGTTTTAGAATTTTAGTGTCTACGGAACCTCTCTTGCTCGTTGCCTAAATGAATGAAAGGAATAACTCGGAAATACCATTTAAACCATTTAAATACTTAAAGCTCCAGATCTGATATGATGGATTTTGTACATGGAATGAGCAAAAACACATCCAGTCATTAAAACTGGAGGTCAGACAGAAAGCATGTAGGACCTCCTCACCCAGTTCAATACTCCTTCCATGCACGTTGCATGTTTGATCCTCTAATGCGTGAGATCGCAGAACTGATTATTATCTCCAAATACAATAGATTTAACAGCAATGTTAAGATTTCTGAACAGTCAAGTTTTCACTCCAGTCTCCTTTAATTAACCTTTTATTTGTCTTTGTTTCAGACCTTGATAAATTGGATAATGAGAAAAGAGAGCTAATTGAGAGCGACATTGCTGCCCTTCATCATTTCTACGGCAAGCATCTTGACTTTCCTGACCAGGCTGCCTTGATTGAACTCTTTGCTAAGGCTTGTATCAGATTTGGAAATACTATTTTTGTTTTTGTTTGCGGATGTGACTGGGTAACTTCAGAACTGCCAGATGTATGTTATGTATACAGATATTGTGAGTTGTCACATTACATTTGTTATTGTATTAGAATCGTGAAGGTTCCAACAGGAGTTTGGGATATACATCTATAAAATTAACTGAGAGCTTGTGTTGGATACAGAAGTTTGTTTTCTTTGTAAATCTCCCCATGTGAACCTAATTTTTTGGCATACTGCAAAATAGGGAATGTATTAATCTCCACCCTGTTTGCTCTTGATCTACATTTTTAGTCAGTGGCTAGTTGGAGCCAGAAATCTAGTACTTGCAACAGATGCTGGATTTGAAAGTGCAGGAAATTATGACAATATAAACTCCAGGATGGTTCTTTCCCCTAAAGGTGGTTGCAAATTTGGTGCTAATTGAATCCATGTCATCTGAGCATTTTCAACTTCAAGGATTTGTCTGAAATTCATAGATATTTAGATACCAACCTGAATTGCACTTGGCACAATTGATCGTTGAATGAGTAAGTTCAAATTTCAAATTCTTTCTGCTGAAGCAAAACCTGAGTGTCCAGAAGCGATTTGAGGAGGGGTGGTTAGTTGCGTAGACTTTTGTCTCCCCAATCTCCTCTACACAACAGAACTCTCCTTTTGAGTCCTTTTAATGTATCTGCTAGGGGAGGGCCAGGAAACCTTTGAATGTTATGGTGAGTGTCACATCATTCTGCTACCATTACCTTGCTAACTTGGCAGAGGACCTCTGTCTCGGAGGTCTTGTCTGGACTTAAATGCCAGAATTGTGCAAGATGTTGTTGGCCAATCTACAGGGGAAGCACAATGTTGCCAGTAGACCTTACACCAGAATTGAGGCAGCTTAAATTTCTTGTCTCTGACTGTTTGTTTTCTGAGGCTGAAGTAGGCCATGAGCATGTTACAAAAAACAAAAATTGATTCCTTGTGATAGCACAAGTGAATATATTCCTTCCTTGGTGATAGCAAGAGAAAACATTGGTCTTGTTTTCACAAGTGGCAAGATCCTCCAGTGCAAAATGGACTCTGATCTCTAAACTGCTGCAAACAATAATGCCCACTATATGAAAGACAAAGACTTTAATTTCATTAGTTTCTTAGCTTGTGTGGCAATCTGTACCAGCTCATGTATGTGAATACCAGATTTGGTGGCAACTGTCATTAAGCATCTATTTTTACAACCATTCATTGTATCATTCCCAGCAAACCAAGGGTTGGACCCTGGGAAGGTGAGAATTCCTGTTGGTGTCTTTGAATTCCAGTCTTCCAACTCCACACAGCAGCAAAGCACAGATACAACGAGGTGCATGTCTCCACCAGACCCATACTGAGCACGCCATTGAATTGCTGAAACTATACTACTTCTGTACCCTTGATAGTTCTAGGAAAATCCTTTTTAGTATAACTAAACCAGAGTTCCCAAGATCACCTAAGGTTTGCTGTATTAACTAAACTTTGCAATTTATACTACACTCTTTTAAAAAGAAAAAATAAAATTGGACAGTAGAGGATGCTGCTGTGCTGGTGTGGTTGCTGGAGAAACCAGGAAAAACATCTGTGCAAGCATCTTCAGCTCTTCTTTAGAATGTTGAACAGACTGATCATACAGGGTGCTTTTATCCTCTATTCCACCTTCTCCTTTATCTGACTTCTTTGTTTGTTTATTGGTGAACATCCAGTTCATATAAGTTACCCTATCTGCCAGACAGGTCACATTTTGCACTGTACGTTTCTTTCTCCAGTCTTTCAAATTGAACCTGTGCAACTACCATGCCCAAATGTATTATCCTTCAATGTAGCTGTTGTTGAGTCTAGAGTCTCTTGTCATAATACTTGACCTTCCATCCATTGGTTGCTCAAGTACCTAAATTGATACTTTGTGCAGTTGCCCTTACTAAAGCCTTTGAGGTAGCTGAAGCTAAGAATATGTTTGAAAGAAGCTCGTGAGATTGAGTTGCCTCTTGGATCACTTGAGCACATCCAATAAACTCAATAAGTGCAAGCCTGCTTGACTTTTTTTGTGGTGATTGTGTGAGTGGCCATTAGAATAGTCAGGGGACTTTTTTGGATATGTTGTCATCCGAAGAGACAACAGAATTGTGTCATGTCCAACCTACCCCATGCTCCCAGTCTTCATGCTGGTCAGTCTATGGGTGAGCAATCTAAAGATCTTGGTGACTGTGCTAAGGGCTGGAGAGGCTCTGACTTCCAGTATAATAAAATGTCAAAAAGACCATTGTGAAGGCTGTATAATGATTTGTTTCACCTTTAGGGAGGTTTGGATGAGTGTTTGCTGAAATTATTTTAGGCAAATAAGTAACCTGTTTGAGGGGTGGCAGAAATGTGCTGTTATGATCCCAGGAGAGATTGAAAAATTCTCTACAAAACAAAGATTCCCAGCAACTGATTGAATCACATGACAAGGCTTCATGTTTACTGTAACTAACAAACTCAAATTAACATCAATTAAGCATTACTTATTAGTTCACTGCTATAATAAACTAAAGGAAAAAGTACCTTTTCCCCTTAACTAATTAACACAACTGAAAACTCCACATCAAATTTATACCACATTCTTAGCTAATACATAGTCTGTGGTTAAAACTGCAGACTGCTTCTGGATATTCATTAGGTTCTCTTCTCTCTTTTGGATGACGGTGTATTTTCCAGGGTCCCCTTTTGAGAAGTCTCCCCACCTAACAGCATGGTTGATGGAAGAAATGGGCTTCATGGTTTATTATTTAATGTGCCTCTATTTGGCTTTGATACTTAGCAATGCTTTCAAATCTCTGAATGCCAAGCTGGAATTGCTCTGGATTGAGCATGCCTGGGTTTATTTATCCTTTGGTAAATATTAATTCAATCATTTTGATTTATTAGTGGAAAATACCTATAGGATGACGAAAAGTCCAAAATTTATTTAGAAAATACTACATGTATATAATTTTAATGGCTATTTCAAATGTAAAGTGATTTTCTAAGCTACATGCCTTCAATTAGCCAACCAGGTCATTAGCTTGCTTTGCCTTTGTATCAAGCTAGGGATTGACTGAAATTGACGGCAAGCTAGAAGCTGCAGTAGTGTTATGTGTTTGGCTTGGCTAGACCACAGGTCTAGCACCCTTAGGCTGGCAGTCACTATTCCTGCCACTGAAATCTGGTTTGCCACATACCTAACTTGGTATGGGTCATGTTTCTGCCACCATTTGAGGCCTAGAGGTCATAGTGCATAAAGCAGTTCTAAACTCCATTTAGAATGTGAGATCCACATCCACAAGTGAAAAAAAATGTTATGCTGATGAAAACTGTAACTCCATTGTTTTGCGCAAAAAGAAGAGATTGCTGAATAGCTCTGCAGGCCACAAAAGCAGCCTTGCATTCATGAATTTTTTAACGTTGTCTATGATTGCAGTTCTGATTTGCAACCATTTTCTCCCTCCCAGTCTTTATCAGGCAGGTTCAACTTGAGCCCAAGGCATTGCTTATGAGGCTGAGGGGGACACTGGTCAAGCTCCATCTGTAGAGAATAACTTTGAGGAAGCAATTGTTTCTGCAAAGGTTTTAGTTTTTCTTTTCCTTTTTAAGGTTAACTGTAATGGTTTCACAATTGAGGATGAAGAGCTTTCTCACTTGGGTTCTGCTATCTTTCCAAGGTGAGAACTATAATACAAAGCTTTTTTTTTTTCTGTTGCTATTTGTTAAGATCTTTTAATATAAGGGTAGTTCAGTGCAATTCTTTATTCTTTAAAGCTACAGATGAATTCCTGATTGCTGTAAACAGTTCCTGAAGGACTACCTCCAGATAACACTCACTGCCTGTTGTTCTCTGTAGTATTCTCAATGTTAACACAATTTAGGTTACGATGTAGGACCTTAAACTAAAAGCCAGTTTGACCCAACTTAAATTATGTGCAGATAACCAAGGGATCAGTGTCTGAGTTTTACCAGCAATTTCTATTTTAGTCCACCACAATGCATTTCAGAGGAGAAGCAAACATTATTCTCTATCTTGGGGCCAAGTGCTAGAGGATAGAAATGATGAGAACTTGCTTGGTACATGCTGCATTAACATCAGCCCTGGCCTTAAAATGAACAACACAATGGGAGGGTTGATTCACTTTTTAAAAGGTTGGTTCCATGTACACCACCTCCAGCTTTTATTTTGTGTGGCTTTTCTTTGTCTTTACTTCCCCTTTTTCAGGTGTAGTTCTTATGATGTTTTGTTCTTAAATGCTCTTGCACCTTTTTCCTTCTGTCGCGTGCTATTATCTCTGCTCTTTTTGCATGAGACTTTCCTACTCTAACATTTTGTAGACTGAGAAAAGAACGCTTGATTCAGTTATAAGATAGAGATAACACAGTACGGAGATGGAGGGACACAGCAGGCCAGGCAGAATCAGAGGAGCAGGAAAGTTTACGTTTCGAAGTCTGAAGAAGGGTCCAGACTCAAAATGTCAGCTTTCGTGCTCCTCTGATGCTGCCTGGCCTGCTGTGCTCCTCCAGCTCCATACTGTGTTATGTCTAACTCCAGCATTGGCAGTTCTTAGTATCTCTACTTGATTCAGTTAGTCCACATAGCACCATGGTATTAATGCATTGCCCTTCAGGCTTTTAAAAACTGAGATCCCAAATGGTCATGGATTATAGAGAGTTCTTGATGAAATAATCTAAATCTTTTCAAACTTATACACTTAATGGTAAGGTCCTGGGAAGTGGTGTTGAACAAAGAGACCTTGGAGTACAGGTTCATTGTTCCTTGAAAGTGGAGTCACTGGTAGACAGGATAGGGAAGAAGGCATTTGGTATGCTTGTCTTTATTGGTCAGTGCATTGAGTATAGGGGTTGGGGGGTGTCATGTTGCAGCTATACAGGACATTGGTGAGACCACTTTTTTGGAATACTGCTTGCACTTCTGGTCTCCCTGCTATAGGAAAAATGCTGTGAAACTTGTAAATCTTTTCTGAACCCTTTCAAGTTGGAGGGTTTGAGCTATAGGGTGAGGCTGAATAGGCTGGGGTTATTTTCTCTGGAGCGTTGGAGGCTGATGGGTGACCTTGTAGAGTTTATAAAATCATGAGGGGCATGGTTAGGGTGAATAGCCAAGGTCTTTTCCTCAGGGTGTGGGAGTACAAAACTAGAGGGCATAGGTTTAAAGTGAGAGAAAAGATTTAAAAGGGACTTGAGGGGCAACTTTTTCATGCAGAGGGTGGTGCATCTATGGAGTGAGATGCCAGAAGTGGTATAAATATGACATCTAAAAGGCATCTGGATGGGTATATGAACAGGGGGTATTTGGACGGATATGGGCCAAATGCTGGCAAGTGGGACTAGATTTGTTTAGGATATCTGGTCGGCATGGACAAGTTGGACCGAAGGGTCTGTTTCCGTGTTGTGCAGCTCTGACTCTATGACGATAGGGTGCTGGTATACTGTCTGTACTGTAGGTGAAAGCTGAGCTCCCACTCTATTCTGGTCTGTGCTTTGTTGAATATAGATTATGGCATCCCTGACCAAGGGGGTAATGAAGAGTTTGATAGGAAGATGAGGGCTGATCTTACCTTAATGTCTCCAATTGAGTTTATTTTTTTTCTAAAAGAAGAAAAATTTAAACTGGAAGCTGCTGATGGTATGTTGGGGCACTAGCCTTGGAAGACTCAGCCTGACAATGTCATAGCCCTGTAATTACACATACATTTGACTGACCTAATTGCTGAAGCTCTCTGCATTACTGCCTGCTGAGTATTTATTCAGTTCCATTATTCTGTCAGTTTTAGTAACTCCTCCAAGATTGTTACTGCAGTGATGTGGCTGTATTTGATATTTACAAAATGATCAACATCTTTTTATACTTTTAACTATTTGCAAGTTTTGTTTTTTGCATGTGTTGCTAATGTGAGGCACTTTCTCAGGTATTCTGTTAGGGCTGCAAGGACAACTAAAGATGGGGAAGAATTATAATATCCTGCTGTATCTTCAAGCAAAATCCAAGTCTTTTCAATGGCTTGAATTTTTTGTTTACTTAATGCTTAAGTGATTTAACTGTAGTATAGTGACAATTAAAAAAAGCTTGCTTGATAAATTGTTGGGTATAGTTTTCTGGATCCGAGTTGATTCAAATTCTAACTTTCTCTGCTCATCGATTTGGGAGGTTCCAGTGGGTTATCTATAAACTTCTCACTCAAGGAGAGGGAAACCTTGGTAATGTCCCACAAACCAGGCACAAATATCCTATAAGATGATGGAGTAGCGCTGTGAAAGCTTGTGATTTCAAATAAAACTGTTGGACTGTAACCTGGTGTCATGTGAGCGCTGACCTTGTCCACACAAGTCCAACACTGACATGTCTACATTATTGCTAACAACAGTGACTTGCACAGCCACCTTGACTACATCACCATCAAAACAACTGTAGTATTGTGCCAGTGACTTTCTGTCTTTTGCATGAATAAAAAAGGGAGGGTGCAAATACAATTTATAACCTTTTTCTATACTTGCAATCTAGCTCTTATTTTGGTTGTTGGTTGTGCGTTATGCATTGGGGGGAGGTGGCAGCCTAGTGGTATTATCACTGGACTGTTAATCCAGAGAACCAGATAATATTCTGGGGACCTGGGTTCAAATCCCACCATGGCAGATGGTGGAATTTAAATTCAACAAATATCTGGAAGTAAGAGTCTAATGATGACTGCAGATCCATTGTCGATTGTCGGAAAAACCCATCTGGTTCACTAATGTCCTTCAGGGAAGGAAACTGCCATCCTTACCTGGTCTGGCCTACATGTGACTCCAGACCCACAGCAATGTGATTGACTCTTAACTGCCCTCTGGGCAATTAGGGAAGGGCAATAAATGCTGCCTGGCCAGCAACACCCTCATCCCATGAATGAATAAAGGGGAAAAAAAAAAATTCCCAACTTGTATGTAATGCTTATCCATTTTAAGTTGTACAGGTTTTTTTTTTAACAAACAAAATTACTAACTTTAAAACATTGAAATTCCTGATATACTTTGTTTTTGTTTCTTGTAGTGTCGCCTTGATGAATCATAGCTGCTGTCCAAATGTGATTGTAACCTACAAGGGTACAACAGCAGAAGTCCGAGCGGTGAAGGAGATCCGTGCTGGGGAAGAGGTTAGTAAGAGAGAAGAATATTTTAAATCACAGTTGTAGTAATTCTGTTATTGTGACCGTACCAGGAATGTCTGCAGTGTGGCCCATGCACTGAGAAATTATGTAGCTTGTGTTAGCTGCATTTCTTTTATTTTTTTTTAAATGTGTTCCAATGTTAAAAATAACTGACAGCAAAACTTGAGCTTTTAAGCAAGATAAAAGGTTAGTTTGTTAGTCAACTATTGCTGACAGTTGCTAAGACAAAGTTTCACACTGCTATTAGATAAAATAGACACAAAGTTTAAATATGAATACAGATAAAAGGTACTCGTAAAAATGAAAATCTGATTAGTGCAGACCTGTTACTTACCTGTAGATTCTCTTTCTGAAGGTGAAGGTAGTTGAAATTGTGAAGTCCAAATTTAGCAGCTTTAGCTGAATAGTTTGAGGCTGTTTGTTTATACAAGTGAACCCTATTAGTAGGGCACGGTACAGGGGAGCAAGGTTTTAGTTCTTAAACTACTACACATGTTGCCTCAACTCCTTTCAGCAGAACCCTGGTTGAATTCCAGAAACGTTTGTCTTTCTCTTTTATTCTCCTCCTTTTTGACTTTTTTCATTCTATTATTATTATTTCTTTCTTTCCTTTTTTTGTCTCCCTTTTTTCTCCGGCTGTTTGCTCATTCTCTGCTCTCCTATGCTCATGCGGTTGCGCTCTCGCTCCCACTCCCATCCCCCTCTAACTCTCATCATAGAATCCCTACAGTTTGGAAACAGGCCCTTTGGCCCAACAAGTCCACACCAACCCTTGGAGCATCCCCCTATAACTCACCTAATCAACATATATTCCTGAGCACTACGAGCAATTTAGCATGGCCAATCCACCTAGCCTGTACATCTTTGGACTGTGGGAGGAAACCGGAGCACCTGGAGGAAACCCACGCAAACACTGGGCGAATGTGCAAACTCCACACAGTCAGTCGCTTGAGGCAGCAGTACTAACCACTGAGCCACCATGCCACCCACTCTCTCATTTTCTTTCTTTCTTTCTTTCTTTCTCTGTCTCTCGCTTTCTCTGCCATCCTGGAAGTTGAAAATAAAGTATGATAATGGTATCGCAAAGTGACTGATATTTGCTTGATGAGAGTATAGGGTAGAGCCCTGTGCAGTGCTGAACAACAGTTTTGATGCTGTGAATTCCTAAAAAGTGTATTATTGAAGTTATAATTTCTGTATGTAGGTCAGTCCTTCGTGTTTATTTAGGAGGAGAAGCCTACCTGTTGAACAAAAAGAATTGTCCTTTCAATCAAAGCTGCATCGTGTCAAAATAGTGGGCCATAGACTAGTCCAGTTATTATAATTTCATCGTTGTTGATTTTATAATGTAAAGGTTTCTCTTCTTTCACTTATGAATAAACTTGCAAGTTTATGGAATGTATGTATTATTCATGTGTGTGTTTGATCTATGTTTTTTGATTGCAGATTTTCACTAGTTATATTGATCTTCTATATCCAACTGAAGATCGACAGGATCGATTGCGGGATTCCTATTTCTTCACTTGTGACTGCACAGAATGTGCAACAAAAGCAAAGGTAACTTTTTTTTTTTTTTGTTTTAAAAAAAAACTTCATTTTGTGCTCTTTACCGCCACTCTCCATGTCACTGCAACCAGAATCCCACCCTCCCTCACCCAGCTGCTTGCCAGGATTTTGGCTTTCTGGGAGCAGAGGCTTGCGCCTTCTGTGCTACAAAGATAACACAAATGTTATAATATAATGGAGGATTCAGCAAGCCCTTGAAAACCTGGAGGTCCTTGCCACTCCACACATTGGAACAGGATCTGACAATTCCAGTGACCTGTTCCATGGTTTTGCAGTTGGCACTTGGATCTTGCTGAACCTCTTGCAGCCCAAGCAGTTTGATATCCTAAAGATGACTTTAGCCAAGTGCTGTACTTGCTGAGTCCATTTGTACAAGCAACCTCCAACTGCAGAAGTCATTGCAGCTGCTCAATTTTGACTTTAGGCTTTCAACCGGTTCACCTTTTTGGAAAGAGCCTACAAACAATGAACAGGTCTACAACCTGTAATGGACTGATCTGGATTTCATCTTTACAAGCATCTGGATTCTGTATCTACTTTTTATCATTCTTTTCACATCAGATAACTCTAGCAAATTCTTAGTTTCTCCTATTGTTACTGGGCAGTGCAGGATTGCTGGGTCTCCTATAAATAAGCACATCACAAACATCTCCCAACTGGCAGTGACTTTAATATACAGTTTGCATCATTCACTATCTAGATAGTTGGAGAATGAAATCTCCGCATGGTGCTGAAGTTGATGGGCCTTTCATACACATTTTTGTAGCTGCCGGGTAATGATTCCTGACACAATTACTCGAGAATTCAATCCCTCGGAAGGTGAAGCCTTTCTGAATTAACTGTTTCTAAGTGAATGGAATGAACTCTAGATGTACTGCCCCAAAAAAAACCCTGTGACCTGTTAATAGAGGATAAAGAAATGACAGATGAGATTGTTATGGACCAGATCAAATTCCCTCAAAACCTATCCAGGAGATAGCCGAAACCCTAATTTTTATTTAAAGGCAAGTGTAAGGCGTTGCGTGCCAGATATGATTCGATTGGTCAAAGTACTAGGCTTTAAACAAAACGTACTTTATTCTTGAACCACTGCTAAAATACAAAAAAAGTCATAACTTTAACTCTTATCAAAATAATATTATTTAGCTACTACTCATCAAGTGTTCCACTATTGCAGCATCCCATAAACACACCATCGACAAAAGCAAATTCGGCAAAACTGATTTCATGTGCTATCTCCAGTCCAAGAGGAAGGAGAAAACCGAAAGCATGAATCTAGCAACAGGAAGAGAACCCAAACTTTTGCAGTAGCAGAGAGAGAGAGAGAGCTGTATCTAGCAGCTTCACTCTTAAAACCCCAGCTTCAATAACTGAAATGAAAAACTAAAATGCTGGGTCTGTGTGAGCATGACTCCACTCACTTGTGCTTCTTTTGTTTTTTTAAATGTTCCCAAAGCTGCAAGGTAATGCTTTTCATGGAGCAGACACCAGGTTTGCAGCACTTTTGTTTTCAAGAGAAACAGGGTGGAATAAATGCCTCTTAAAGGCACATCTTATCACAAAATGAATGAATATTTTGCTTCTATCTTCATTACTGGTGATACAAATCAATCTCACTTATTAGCTGTAAATCAAAAGGTGGGAGGAAGTGTTGAACTTCTTGAAATTGCTGACACTGTGGAAGTGGTACTGAGCAAACTGCTGGAGCTGTGGATGGATAGGCCCCCTGGGTCTGGATGGATATTACCTTAAAGCCCTTTAAAAAGGGATGACTAATGAGACAGTAGATGCATTGGCATGATCTTTCCAAAATTTGCTAGATTCTGGAACGGTTCTGTCAGAGTAGCAAGCAGCAACTGTAATGCGTCAGTTCAAGAAATGAAGGAGGCAGGAAATCTTCTAGGGAAGTTAGCTTGATGTTTGTCATGGGGAAGGTGTTTAAAATCGATCATGGAGGTTCTAGCTGGGCACTTAGAAAAACTTGATAATTGAGAAGAGTCGGCATGGTTTTGCAGAAAGCAAACTTTTGTTTAACCAAATTTTGTTTTGGAGTGCTTTTAAGGCATGAGATGCTTTGGATGAGAGGGAGCCTGTGGACACTGCTTTTTGGATTTAGAAAAGGCATTTGACAAGGTGCCACATAAAAGGGTATTGAGTAAAGTAAAAGCAGAGGTAGATTGATTTCCTTACTTAGCAAAAATCTAAGGTTATCGGACGTAGATGGGAAAGTGAAATTTGAACCACAAACAGATCAGCTATGGTCTTATTGAGTGGTTGAGCAGGCCCAAGCGAATGCTTATCTCTGATACAAGCGAAGTGATAACACACTTTTTGTTTGGTGCTTTTCATGACCTCAGGATGTGCCTTTGCATTTCACAGCCATTTAGCTGTGTAACTCGCATCCAAATGTGGCAAATGACTTCTGGCCTGATGCAAAGTAAAATTTTATAAGGGGGAAATGAGGGGGGAAATAAACAAAATGAGGATGGAGATTGCAACTTAATATCATAGAACTCCATGTTGACACAAGAAGGCTGGAAACCAGTGGTCATACTTGTGGCCTTACTTGTGGCCTGAATGGGGATGTTATGAAAAGAAGAAATGGTCACCCAGTCTATGTTTTGATTCCCCAGTGTGGAGATGATGACATCATGAGTAGTGAATACAGTATGCTAATTTGCACAAAGTGTAATTTCAACTATTTCATAGTGTTTGATGTTAATAAATATTCCCATTCATCTCTGCAGGATAAAGAAAAGTTGGAGATTACAAAGTATGGTGAGCCGCCAAAGCCAGAGGTCATCAAGGACATGATTAAATATGCTCGGAATATAATTGAGGAATTCAGGAGAGCAAAGCATTACAAAAATATCCTTTTTTTTTGCTGTGAATTGGTCATAAGCCACACACCTCTTTTAAAAACCAAACTACTACATGTTTCAGTGGTGCTATTGTCTTGTGTTAGTTTATTGATTTTGATTCTTTCATACAGGCTTTGAAGAGTATACAGAATATTGGCTATTTACTACTCTTGTTCCTGGTGCATATAAATTTTTTGGACTTGGGAATAAACAGCGTTTTAAAAATTGTTGATGGTGCAAAATCAAAGACTGGTTGAGGAAAACTACACAAGACTTGAGGCAGGTGCAGGCTGTGAGCAGATTGGTGACAGGAATAATTTAATTGTAGGGAAGTGAGGTGATATATTGGGGGAGGAAAAATAACGAATGGGGATACAAACTGAATGAATAACCACTGAAAGTGATGAGAAAACCATTGAATTTTAAAGCCCATTCCTTGCAAGGGCAGCTTTTGAGTATCTTGGATTTTACAAAGCAGCCCAGGGAGACAGGAGTAGGCCATTCAGCCAATTGTATTTGCCCTGCCCATTCAATATGCTCTTGGCTGATCAAACACTTAGTGCCTTTTTACCATCTCCATAACCTGGTATGCTGTTGATAATCAAATCTAGTAATCTTAAACACACTTAAATTTGAGCTTCCATAGTCTGCTGTGGCAGAAAATTCCAAAGGGTGTCGCCTTTTATTTTTAAATGGTTCTAGACTCCCAACCCAGGGTAAACATCTTGCCTGTATCCACTTTTTAAGAACCTTGTAGATTTAAATGGTATCACCTCTCATTCCTTGAAACCGGAGAATACTGGCCCAGTTTGCCTAAACTCTCTTCATGGCAGTGTTCTGCTGTCCTGGGAGCAAGTTTCGTGCCTATTCATTGCACACTGTCAATGACGATATCTTTCCTGAAATGAAAAGACCAAAACTGCACACAGTGTACCAGGTACTGTCTAACCATGCTCTATGTAGTTGAAGCAAGACTTTAATACTCCTGAAAGCAAATCCTCTTGCAATAAAAGCTAATGTTCCATTCACCTTCCTAATAACCTGCTGCATCTGCGTGTCAACTTTCAGTGACTTATCGACCAAGGACACTTGGATCCCTTTGTACATCTATGCCTTTCAATCTCTTACCATTCAAGAAATATTATGCATATTTGTTTCACATACTAAAGTGGACAACTTCACATATTTCCATATTATTTTCCATCTGCCATGTTCTTGATGATTCACTGTGCCTGTCCAAATTTTCCTGAAGGTGCCTCACATTTTCCTTGCAACACCCATTCCCACTTAGGATTCTACCATCTACAAACATTGAAATGTTACGTTTTGACCCTACCTTGAAATCATTGGTACTTATTGTGAACATCTGGGGCCCCAAGCCTGCTGATCCTTATGCTATCCCAGTAGTCACAGCCTGCTGATGTGAGAGTAGCCCGTTTATTCCTGCTCTCTGGCTAACAGTCAGAAATCAATCATTAATCTATGCCAACACGTGACTTCCTATCCCATGTGCTTTAACCTTTCTAACCAGCCTCCTGTGGGGTCTTTATCAAAAATATTTAGAAAATCAAAGTATGCTATATCCATGAACACTCTACTATCAGTTTAGTTAGTAATCCCTTCAACTCCAAGTTTGTCAAACACAATTTCTCATTTGGGCATAGTCAGCATGAATTTGCATTCATATCATTCTCATCCAGGTGTCTGTTAATCCCATCCTTTACAACAGATTCAAGTACTATTTCCCTAATACAATTGTAAGGTTAACATTCCCTTTTTAAATAGCTGGCCGACACTTGCTACTTTCCAGCTGCAGGAATCGTTTCAGAATCAATAGAATTCGGAAGATAATACCCAATGCCTTGACTATCTCTGTAGTCACCTCCATAGTGCACTGGGCTTTGAATAACATGTCCTTGCAGTTTTATCGCCTTTCAGCCCCATTAATTTCTCCAGTACAATCTTGCTAATGCTGATTTCCATCAACTCCTCATTCTCCCTAGCCATTTGGATCTCTGTCTGGGAGATTTCTTGTATCTTCCTCGGTGGAAACAGATACAAAGTAATTGTTTAACTTCTCTTTCAGTAAGCTTTAATTATAACACCTAAATCCTGCTCTGCCCCAAATTTCTTGTTACTGTCTCTGTCTCACTCTGCCAAAGTCTCCCTCACTGACTATACAGACATTAGAATACAGGATCAAAAAGCGACTGGCCGTGATTAGTACTGTTTGCTGTTCTGAGTATATGATTATACAACGGATATTAAAACAGTGTAGATTCATTTTGATACTGAGTGGTAGAAAATTTGACTTGAGCAGTTACACAATGTGTGGTATCAGATTGGCTGATTGTTTGTAATGCCTAACGTTTAATTATATTGACTACAATGGAACTGAAATATCTGTGTGTAGACTGAAATGACATTGACTTTGTTTTGCCACCATTCGAGATACCTTTCTGTTCCTGGATGTAGGGAAATGACTTGAGATCCTGGGAATTATTATTATTAGAACCAATGTTGGTAAGAGAGAATTTGTCTTTAAATGTTTTGAAGGTCTTTTGAAAACTGGTAGGTTATTTCCTCTAGGTTGACAGTTCATCTTCACAAATTTCACAACCAAAGTTCCCTGGGGGAAGAGAAATGTACAGACCCAGCACTGCTAAGCGCACAATTTGTGCAAACGAAGCACTATGAATGATCAAAATGAAGTATTTGTTTTAATCTTCCATTACAGAATAGCTTTTGGAGCTCCCTGATTATTCTTTGTACAATTCTTAACTATCTGGCACCCCCTAGTGAACTGCTGGAGATCTGTGAGTTAAGTCTGGATAAGATGGGCTCCACCTTTGAGGATAACAATGTCTACATGCTGCATATGATGTACCAGGCCATGGGAGTCTGCCTGTATATGCAAGACTGGGAGGGAGCCTTACGCTATGGTCAAAAACTAATCAAACCTTACAGGTGATTGAAAGAATATATAGTTGATACAATATTTATTTCATGTAATCTTTCTACAGGATAATTTCCAGAAATAGTTTGTTTATTTTGGGTTTTAGAGCAGTATTATTAATAGACAGTGTAACATCTCACTACTGCATGAGTCACACTTGTGCAAAGTGAATATTTCATCATAAATTGTTGCATGCTGCAGAATGATTGCAACCACATTACATGTTTTTTTAAAAAATGAAGATAAAAATGATACTAGCAGATTTTGAAGTTAAATGCTGTGTAAAGGTAATAACTTCTATTTATATCTGACAGCTAGCAATTTCCATGAGGGGAGCCTTTATTCTGGGTAGCTAGAAGGGAGCAGCAGACTCTCCTTGTGCTAAGACGTGCATTTTTTGTATTTGCAAGCATGCCAGAAAATGCAGTTGATTTCAAATGAGTGAGTCACTGAGTTGTGACAATTAAGCCAGCAAGCTCTGTTCTGACTTCCTGTGTGGAGACAAAATAGCCTACGAGCTGGATGTGGAAAATAACTTGTGCTGAGCCAAATAAAATGACCCAGGTTCTCGGGAAGCTTTCCATAGTAGAGGTGGTTTTGTGTCTGCATTTCTCCATGTACCAAGTTAATAGTGTTGACAGTGTTGAACAAGGCTCTGTGCCCTCCCATGTGGAGGGAGGAGAGATTTTTTTTCCTCCCTCTTGTACATTAGCAAATAATTACTTGCCTGCCCTTTTGATCACAATGCACAGTCAAGACTGGGAACATTAAATAAATTTTATATCGAACGTTTATCCTTTTTTTTTTAAAAAAGTAACTGAAAGAACTGCGGATGCTGTAAATCAGGAACAAAAACGAAGTTGCTGGAACAGCTCAGCAGGTCTGGCAGCATCTGTGAAGGAAAAAAGAGTTAACCGTCAGTTCTGAGGACGGGTCACTGGACCCGAAACATTAACTCTGTTTTTTCCTTCACAGATGCTGCCAGACTTGCTGAGATTTATCCTTCAAATTTCTTTTGTCTACCTCCTAGGATGCTTTGTCTTCAGGAATTGCACTGCTCCTGCTTAGTTAAATTTGATTTGTAGTTGTAATATAGCTTACTTTTGTCTTCAGCAGTAGATTGCAGTTGTATTTTAAAAAAAATTTCTAGGCAAACAGTTTTTTAAAAAGTGGATCCAGTCATTCAGCTTGGTCTGTACCTGGTAATTTCACATTTTAACCACTTTCTGATTCTCACATCCTGGATGCTGTTGCTTTATGCAGGAAATGGGTATCCTGATGTGGCAGAAATCTCCTGGGGAGGCACTGTGACGGTGATGTCTACAGAAGGCAGTATCCTTCTGCAGGGACTGGAGTCACATGTAGGCCAAACTGGGTAAGGATGGCAGGTTTCCTTCCCTAAAGGATATTCCCTTCCTTTTCTGCTGTTACTTATGTTTGAGACAATATGTACGATCAGGACCAGATTGGTAGAGTAAAAACTGTCCCACTATCGTTCGACCAGTGATCTTTTTAAATAGGGCAAAGTGTAAACTGGACTGACTACTACCATTTCCCAAGGCCAACATTGTTCCTTCTCAGTCTTTTCAGCTGTTCCAAGCAGCTTAATTCTGATCAAGGAGACAGAAACAGACTATTTTTAGGTTGTTATTACCCCAGAGAGTGTTTTATAGAAAAAGGTGTGTGTGTGTGTGTGTGTGAGAAATCCAACAGTTAGTTGACTGTTTTTAGTTGCAAAATATACTTTTATTGGTAGCCCTTAACTGTGCACAGGGCTGTTATCAACCACATCCTCCCAGTGATTGGGAAATATATCTGGCAATTCAGTTCTTTCAGAGTATCCTGTAGGCAAAGTTGAGCAGGCACTTTCCATTGGAGGAACTTCGTGAAACTTTGCACACTTTCTGAGCCAAGGAGGTGTAAATTTTAAAAACTACAATCTCTAGAGGGTGTATTGATCTATGGTTGCACGTTACCATTTACTTTTAATAAATCTGAGTAGTTGATTTTGGCAAAAACTGCAATGTTTATTAGAATTATTTTATCCTGTTATTTCCAGTAACGAGATTTTCTGATTGCCCCTGAAAAATATGTTTCTTATTTATAAAATAATATGACCTTCCTTTTGAACGAAGACTGACTTTGGAGCCTTTTGAAGATGAACACGAATAACATATAATGCAGAGCATTTTTACTGTGATTGAGTGAAAACATCTACTGCCCAATTAAGACACTGACTCAGATTTTCTGTTGGGATATTTGTTCACTTATTTTGCATTTGAAGGATGTCACTAGTCGCAAACAGAGATTCAACACCTTTTTTTCTCCCTTCTGCTGTCAAAGACAGGGAGTCCAGGAATGTGCAGGTTAGGTGGGTTAACATGGTAAATGCAGGGTTACAGGGATAGGATGGGATGGGATGCTCTTTTGAGTGTTGAAACGGACTCGATGGGCCAAATGGCTGCCTCCTGCAGTGTAGAGATTCTGATAATTTTCAGAAATCTGAGTTTGCAAATTGGATGTTCACCCACTAGAAACACCTTTGGCGGGAATTCATGAGTGAATGGAACTTAGCTTTGCTCTCAGTAAAATGAAAGCATGATGATGATGAGAAATGTGCCCATGATTTCCAAATGTACGCGGCTGGTGGATGAGGCTTTTTGCTGGGACAGTGGCTTCATAAGGTCAGCATTTCCAGGTTTGAACGATCAGAGGTGATTTCTGGGGTAAAACCTTCCTTCTCCACTGCTGACATCTCTAAGAAAAATAAAGGCACTTGCTATTATCATTGAACACGTGGATTTTCAGATTGGAATTCTTCATTTGTGCTCAGATTATAGATAAATTTGTGAAATGGTATGACCCATTAACACCTCTAAAATTTGGTACAGAGAAAAGACATTTATCGGTCATTCATCCAATGTGTTTGAATTGGTTTTGAATTTTAGGTCTGAGCCATTATAAAAAGATTGCACATTTATCTGTACTGAGACACTTAAACGTTGCTAGAGATACATACTTACTAAAAAAAATGAAACTTAATAAATGTTGCTTCATCAGCAACAACTTGTTCCTAATGCTGAAAAATATTCAGGGATGCCTAACTAAAAGGAAATAGTTAGGACAGTGACTGAATTTTTTTTAAAAGATCTTTCACTGACAGCCTTAAGAGCAGATGATGGTAGAGTGGTTGAGTGTTAAGTCCTGAATGTTGGCCATGCTTTCAGCTACAATAGAGGGGTGGAGAGAGTGGGAAATGCACATGCTACAGAGTTAAAGTGAACAACAAAGATTGAAGGAGAGGTGCAGCCATAGAGGAATTGAAAACTTCTATGAGCTTTTTGTCAAAATTTGAGGTTTTTGGCACAAGAAAACTGTTGACATTAAAGAGTAACATGCAGTGGAGTGGTCAAGGTTTGTTATGAATTGGGGCACAGACAGTGGATTGACTGAAATTTATGGAGGATGAGCAGTTGGCAGAGGAGCAATAGCACATTCAAACTTGGACAGGCATGACTGAAGCTTTTAGAAAGAGCTGGGCTAAGGCAGGGATGGAAAAGAGTAATATGGAGGTGGAGGTAGAAGTAGGTGCTGTTGTGTAATGGGGAGAAATTGGGATTGGAAGCTGCCAGAATCCTTGGGCTTTCGCTATAATACTGTTGTCCTGGAGATTGAATTGTAGTGGTTTCTTGTAACTTGTGTACCAACATATTTGACATTTGGAGGAAGGGTAGCATATTCCATGATTCAGTAACTCCTTATTTCAACTGGTGGGTGGTTACACATAGTTAGAAAATTAGAATGAAAGGAGGGCAGAAGAAAATTAGCATTGTGATTTGTAATTTTAAAATAAATGTTTTTTTTTTAAATTAGCAGCAAACACTATCCAGCATATTCTCTGAATGTTGCTTCAATGTGGCTGAAACTAGGACGGTTATATATGGGCCTGGAACACCATTCTGCTGGCGCTAAGGCACTGAGGAAGGTAATAAATTCACCTGTTCCTTTCCTCATTATAGTCACCAAGTATTGACTTCATAACAGATATGATTGTGTTGATGGCTTGTTTTTAAAGTAACATTCCCAAGAAGGCTCATGTGTACTTTATGGAAACTAGACTACTGGGTAAGAAAGTGTTTTGAACCTATAAGCGTGCCTTGATTTTATTAAATCATGCACATTGTGTAATTGTAGCCAGTAGGCTGTTCCTGTTGGAAAATAATCCCAATGTGCTGTCACTTTAAAGCTGTAGACCCATTTCTAAATTTTGCATTTAGACTGGTATCTAAAAGTACATCCTTTTCTGAACTTCAACTATTATTTCTTCATTGAAAATAATCCTGAACAAGAGGTAACATATTATTTTCTGCCAGAATGCATTGAGCTTTGTGGATTTTAGGATAATTGTAATAAATCAGACAACTTGCACAAATTTAGACACTTCAAAATATGCTAATCTGAGAAAACTCACCCCATGTAATACAGTTAATGTATTTATAGTGTGTTTACTTAATGAGTATCTATCATTGTTGCGGTCTGTTACTTTTCACCAAAGTTTAGGATCCTAATATGAATTTCATTGACTGCACTGCTTTTTTGAAAGTTCTTGTCCAGCAATTGGAATCAGTAATTTGACTTCATTCAGAATTATGGCTAAGAAAGGTTGAGCTGCACAAGCTATGTCAGACATATCATAAAACAGAACACACCCTCCCCCCAAAACCCCAGTTATCCCAAAAGAAAACCTTAGCTGAATAGAAGTTCATCAACCTGAATTAAAAACTATTTCCATCCACAAATCCTGACTGGCCTGCTGAGTAGCACTAGCATTTTTTTTTTGTTGTGATGCAGGTTTGTTTTTAAAATACTCAGAATATCAAATCTTGCATAGATGTGAAATTGAAAATTCAATATCATTAAATAATTGAAAGACACCGTTCAAGGTTTACTAAATAGAAACTGAAAGAACTATGGATGCTGTAAATTAAACAAAAACAGAAATTGCTGGAAAAGCTCAGCAGATCTGGCAGCATCTGTGGAGAGAAAATCAAAGTTAACGTTTTTGGGTCGAGTGACCCTTCAATTCTGAAGGGTCACTCGACCTGAAATGTTAAATCTGGTTTCTCCAATAGATACTGCCAGACTTGCTGAACTTTACCGGCAATTTCTGGTTTTGATTCAAGGTTTAATTCTCCCTTCCATGCCAGTAAAACACAGAAGTAGATAGAATGTCTAAATTTTAATTTTTTTTTTTTTTAAGAAATTCTTGTTTTAATTTTAGTTGAGTTGTAATATCTGACTTCTTTGTAAAAAGAAACTTGAATTTTTCAAAATTCTTTGTGGCATGGGATCTTAGCAATTCTTCGTTTTGTGCTGTATAATTACAGTACCTTGTAAAATTTTATTTTAAAAAGAGCCATGTTTTAGAATAGATGTCGAGAGAAACACTAACTAACTGACTTAAATTTGCCTTTTCTTTCACAGGCATTGACCATTATGGAAGTGGCACATGGCAAAGATCATCCATATGTTCTTGAAATTCAGAAAGAGCTGGAGGGAAAATGAATGTTTTCATTTGTTGCTTCAATTCCTTGCAATCACAATGTGAGACTGTGTCTGTTTGTATGCTGGTATCTGTCAACAAACTAATCTCTAAAAAGATTGGTTGGCATGGATATGAAATCTGAAAATAATAGCATAAATATCAAAGGAATGCAATTTTTATTTTTGTTTTTAATATTTAAATGCATATTACAATAAATGTTGTGAAAGCAGTTAATTTATTGAAACTTCTCTGAAAAATTTTAGTCAGACCGCACTGCATGCAGTTCTGGTTGCCATATTATATAAAGGAGATGTTCAGGAGAAAAGTTGCAAGGGTTAATTGTGATACTGGGGGGGAGTGGAATTGAGCCTAGGCTGGGAATTGTGGGGGTGCATTGGGGGTAGATAGAGTTTTGGCTCTGAGGCAGCATGCGGACCCTTGGAGCTGATTCCCTTGGGCCACAACCTCCCAAACCATAGCGACATAAAAATTGCACTTGGATGTCACTGAATCTATCCCAGGGCTGTTCTGCGTCAGTGCTGCTGTCTTGGAGAAGGAATCTACTTCCAACCCGAGTTTCTCCTGGTTTAGGCAGTGAATTCCGCATATCGTAGAAAAGAAACGGGAGACTTGAGGCATAGGGAAGCCCTACGTCGCATGTATATGCTGCCTGGATAGTATAGACCTCTGATCGAGGTATTGGAGACAGTATTTACTCGTACGCCTAGGGAAGCAGGTATTGTTTCATGTCGAGGCTAATAATCCACTAAACTGCTTCAGCTGACTCAATGTGATTGGTTGTGGTGGCACCCAGAAATGGATCTCTCTGGGTGGAAGTTCAGTTTGTGGCTGATGGCCTGACTCGGGTGTCCACGGTCACAATTTGAGCTGGTCATTTTCCACTCAGATTAGGGGCATTGATAAGAGTGGAAGCAGGGAGAATGTTAATTTGCAGAAAGTCCTATTCCCTGCTCAATGTTCTTGCTGATCAAGTTGGTTCCTGGTCTAGTAAAATCTGCGTTTACATCATTACTTCCAAATTTCTGCATGCCCTACTACTCCGTAATCCGCTTACAACCCCATACGAGTTCTGTCCTGCTCTAATGTTGGCCTCTTGTGCATTCCCAGTCTTTGAAGGCCTGTAATCCTATATGTCTGAACATTGGGGTGGCACGGTGGCTCAGTGGTTAGCACTGCTGCCTCACAGCACCAGGGACTTGGGTTCGATTCCACCCTCTGGCTACTGTCTGTGTGGAGTTTGCACGTTCTCCCCGTGTCTGCGTGGGTTTCCTCTGGGTGCTCCGGTTTCCTCCCACAATCCAAAGATGTGCAGGTTAGGTGGATTGGCCATGCTAAATTGCCCATAGTGTTCAGGGATGTGTAGATTAGGTGGGTTTATGGGGAATGGGTCTGGGTGGGATGCTGTATGGGTCAGTGTGGACTTGCTGGGCCGAAGGGCCTGTTTCCACACTTTAGTGGGTTCTATGATCTATGATAAGATTAAAAAAAAAGACTTTAGATAGAGTCTCTCTCTCTCTGACCAGCTCCCAGTGCAGATCAATTAGTTAATTTAAACAGAAAAAAAATCCACTTTCTTACACAGTATTCACTTTGCACTGTCCAATTCTGATAGGATTGTCTGGATAATGAAACTGTGTGCAGAAAATTCTTGCTAATGAATAATTGTTTAGAATGTGGAGCATAATATTAGCATGGATCAGCTGAGGGTAACTGGCCTGTTTTCCACTGTAGATGCAATTAATCAATTATTTAAACCTCTACCACCTAAAACTTTGGAAATGTGTATTGTTACGTTGGACTATTGAAATTAGAAAATCAAGCTTTAGAGCTGACTCAAGAACTTCAAGTAGGTTCCGGTGAACTTGACAGGAGAAAGAAAGGACATCTGGATTTTAAATAAAGATTGTGGTCTTCCCACAGATGTGGGAAGATCTTAGTCTAGGCTCATCAGTACACAACAGAACCAAGTGGCTCAAGGATAAATGGAAATTGATCCTCTGGCTTTATCAGAAAACTGAGCTGCTGGTACTAGTTGCGTCTTCGGCCACATCCCTTTGCCAGCAGTGATCCTTGGCTAAGTCTGTAATTGCGGTAACGTTGGCTGAAGAACTTAACAGCATGGCGCAGATCACTGACTAGGAATGATGCCCCTTGAATGTGTAGATCAGAAACCCAGTTCCTGTTTGGAGAGAGGGAAAGAATGGTTCCCATCACGTTTAGCAATGGAATTAAAGCTTGCTTTTTTTTTTGTTTTTGCATTTGCTTAAATTTACATTTTGTGCCTGAATTTTGTTTGTGTAGAGCAGGCAAGCAACAATTCTGCCAAACAGGTCAGAGTGCAAGAATCAAGATAAACCTTTTTACACATCTACCTTCATGGTGATGAGCGGTGAAGAAATTTGTAGGTTGGCACATTACAATAAATGACTTGTCCTAATAGTACTATAGTGTAGTCGTATTCTAACCAAGGAGCTGAATAATTTAAATCAACAAAACTGCAGTTTGATGTATACAGAATCAACTGATTAAACAAACAAAAGATTTAAGATCAAACAAAATGATGAAGCAGCATTGAAGCCCTTATTCCAGCATAGCCTTCTCCTTCTTGGTGCCCAGTGTTCCCACCGGCAGTAATAATTTGAGCAAACGTATACAGTGTAACTTTGCAGACAATGCCACACAACCAAACTGCATGCAATTAAGTAAATTACCTCAAGTGGGATTCTCTCTGATCTAACTTGAGGTTGGTTACATTCATTTGAAAGCTGCAAATACTTGCCCTGGACCATGAAAGTTGAGTAAAGTCTAATTGCACAAGTTGTAAACACAACCTCTATTACCTTGCAATGGGATCATGCAGTTTCAGATGGTGTTAATAATGCATTAGCAACTGTTTTTTGTTCATTTTTGCTCTATTGCGCTATAGTTCTGCTGTCATCTGGTCTGTAAATTTTAGGATGCATATTGGAAGCTGTCAAAACTGTATATGTTCAGGTTACCATCCTAATGCTACATCACCTTATACCGAACAGTAGGATTTTTGGAAAAATGCTTTATTGTGTATATGAATGATAGACAATAATCTTTTACAAAATGTTTGGTACATTCATAAGGAAAATTTGTCACTAAAAAGCATATACAAAATAATTATTTACACAAGACATAGAAAGAAACAAGAGATAATTTTGTTTTGACAAGTCATGTGAAGCAATGCTGAATGGTCTCAGTATCCATAGAAAACAACAGGCAGCAAGATCAAATGTAAAATACTGTCATGTAGTATCACAGTTTTATACTGAAACTGGGAACAAAAGCTTATACACTTATCAGAATACATATATACCTGATGTAATAAGCATGCACAGTTAGTTTTCAAGCAGAAGATAGTTTAAACAGAACATTAAGACAGTTCCACTCATTGTAGTTAAAACCACTGTTTTGTTGCAACTCAAATATGGTATGGACTTAAACTTCCTGTCACAAAGTTATGTTTTCAGACATCGAAACACAATAGGGTGAGAATATAAATTATATGAGGGCAGATGCCTTTTCACTGAGTTAGTATAACACATTTATAGGCTTTTTGTGCTAATTTAGGGGCTTATTTCCAAATGAGATGCAGAGCAGTGGTTTACAGCAGGGAACAATTTCAACTGAATCTAGTATCGGCACATTGATGCTAAAAATTAACTGAATATGGCCAGAGGTTAAAATACTGAACTGTCCAGTTGGAATCTGTGGAAGCCATGGGAAATTAGTAAGAATCTTTTTATAAAGAAACCACATGGACGTTGTCATAAGAGATCACTAATGAAAAATTAAAATCGTTGTTCATGATGTGCCTTTGAACTTTAAATGTTCAAAGATATCCTTTCAATAGATATAGGGAATCAGTTACTATTATTGTCAGTTATCACGCATACCACATTCAATTTTTATTTTTTGTCCAAGTGAATGTGCATCTCTAGTTCTGAACTTGGTGCTGGTTTCATTAATAATGAGTGAGATTGGGTGTGTATCAGTTGAATTTGGCAATTGATGGCACAATCCTACTTGTTAAACTTAGGGACCAACATGCTTAACACTATCAATGTAAGTCTTGCTGTCTTTCATTCACTGCTTACATAAATGTCCATATGTATTAATGAATATGACAGGAATGTTCTCTTTAAGCAACATATGTTTATTCCTTAATTCATCACTATCAATTCAGAATATATGTAACACAAGGTTAGACAATGGACTTAGTAAATTTATTAAATCCAGTCCATTCTGCCAATAGTTAAATGAAGTAAGGGTGGACAGTTCAGCATTCTGGTGGATTCCAGCACCAAACTCTTTCAATTTTTACATAAGGGTTAGTTGGTACATTAAAGTTGGCACACAAACAAGGTGAGATATAGTTATACAAAGACAGAAATTTTAGCAAGTTTCCCTACTACTTTTCCATATAGTGTACAAATTTTTTGTACTTGTTTTATAGCAATATAGCAAAGTTGTTGTCATGACCTTTATTTTTCATTAGATAAACTAATGATTTTATATTGATCTTGTATGACTTATTATTTAAAACTTGCTGTTTTAAACAAAAAAATATTTCCAGAGCTTCTTGTGGTAAGTATCCTAACATTTTGGCAGTAATACACAGTTAACTGTGCAGTACATGGTTTCCAATTGGGCCCATGTAACTTTGAATCTGAATAGCTGGTCAAAGTTTAAGCCAAAAAGTGAAAAGGATTCTGGTTGCACCTCAAACCTACAGTGATAAATGCATTTATTCATATATATCAAAATTATATAGCGCCTTTAACATATTAAAAACAGTCCTAAGACACATCACAGAGGCATAAAAAATGTGTACATTCAAAAGCATTTTTAACAAAAAACAACAAACAAATAGGTTTTGGCGCTTGATTACTGCTCAAAACATATTAAGTCGAGAATCAGAACAATGTTAAAAATTGGTCAACCACCAACCATTCAGCATTTCCAAACATCAAATACAACATGTGATAGGTATCGCAACAAATGTGTTGCAATTTCAGATTTGGCAATCAATATAGAACATTGTTCAACAGCACGTGTTCCAACAATTCATACCTTAGCAATATTGAAAAGCCAAAAAAATACTGAGACACAATACGGATATTAGCATATTAAAAACTCAGACTGGACTTTAATCCAACCTGTTAAATTATATAAATACACAAATTAAGATCAGTTAACAGTATTAGTCAGTGGAAGGAGCTTGCAAAGTCACAGTGAGCCAGCCATCTTAGATAAGACAATTTTAAAAAAAAAAGGTTCCCCACAAGGGTTTTTGAACTTCTCACCGACCCACTGAATACTGTGAGCATCTAAACCGTTCAAAGTTATTCCATTTCTCCTCACTTCTTTTCCCTCCTAACATACAGCACTATCTGTGAAATTTAGCTGCTAGGAAGTGGTCTGAAAAACATATTTTCACCTGTCAATTACTGATAATCAATGCACGGTTTAGGGGTTAATCTAAAATATTCTACTGAGCTACAACCCTGAAATTCCTTGGGGTTTCTGTCCACCCCTTGTCATCATTTCAGTGAGACTCCACTTTCATTAGTAATTTCCAAATGCCTTGTTAAGGAGTGAAATCCTACAAGCCAAATTAACAGGGAACTGAATCTGTGCAGGGACTTCTAATGCTGCATGATTCTAACTCAGTCACAACCCAAATAGTTGCAGAGTTCAATACATTTAGTGATTTAAGGTATAGGTTTTCAAATGGGTGAAAGTGAGTACCACCCAATGGATACAGACTAGAGAAATGTTTCAATCATGTTCTTACATGAGGTATTGGAAAACAAATGGCTCGATTTGCAGAGTGGAGCAGGGCTGGACAGACTATTCCACCCCATGGTAGGTAAACCCTGAATTTTCAAATGCATGCAGTAGGCAGCAGCAATTTGCCTCTTGTGGCGCTAACTCACAGTTGTCCCATAGGAATCAGGTGTTTTCCTAAGAAGCAGCACGCAAGGGATTTCCAAGCCTGCATGTCACATATATTTAGTTTACATACCAATACCCAGCACTGTGACCAAAACTGAAATAGCACAATCCAGACTTGCAAATTGTTTAATATCCAACCCAAATCTTGCTTAAACTTAATGCTAGTTATTATTAAAGGGATTATAGCACCTTCACCCAGAGTTTTCATCTTTCCTATTATTTTCTTTTACATTCCAATCTTCAATCTTCTCAATTTTTTGCCAATGACCATATGTTTTTATTAAACATTATTTCCTCTCAATTCTAAAAATTATACAATTTCTGACATTGTCTATACTTGATCATTTTTTCATCTGGTGATGACAAGTTTGCAGGTGGCTTTCTCTGGCTTTTGCTCATCGGTTATGTCATCTTAAGGGAAGTTATTTAAAATTTGTTTTCTAATTGTATTTCCACATCAGTAATTTCTGTAAATTAATTTTGAAGCTACCTTCCATCCACAGTATTCATTTCTTTTTACTAAAGGTTGTGTGTAAATGCTGGTTAATATTTTTATTTAAACTTGGATTGCACCTGTAACATGTTCTAGTTCATGAATCAGTTCATATAAACCTTTTTTTCCACAACTGAGCTACAGCAAGCTTAGAGTAAAAATAATCAATTAGAAACAATCAATCAAATAAAGGAGCACTATCCCCTCTGTAAAGTTGTTGGGAAGATTGCCTTCTCTCCCTACCATTAATAATAAAAAAAAAAATGCAGTTTGCCTATTGAAAATTAAATAACTTGTGTACTGTACCATCATGCTAAAAGAATGCCCTGCCAAATATCTAGCTGTCAAAGTTGGGTGATCCATTCTATCTACAGAAAGGCATGAATATCTAGTCACAGAGGCTTACACAGTAGTACATGAAAAGCTATTTTGGCCTGTCTGTCTTGTTTTAGTCAGTCCCATTCTCTACTGCTGCTATCTTTATTATTAAACTTTTTAGAACTGGCACAATATTTTGCCATCAAGATAAAAAATAAATCTATTCCATGAATCTATTGATGAGGATTGTTTGATGTTTCGGTATATTTCTTTTAATCACTCAAACGCTTACTGATTTGCAAAGAAATAATTTACATAGTTGTTCATGAACAGATAGTTTATTTAAGAATCTCTATTGAAATGCAACAAAAACAATGAATCAAATTAATTTTCCTCTTACAATTAAAAAAAACTTCCCAGAGATCAAAATAATTTGTCTTAATATTTATAGGAACGACCATATTACGAACGTTAAGACAATGGTCAATTTCAAAATAGACTTAACCTCCAGCTACGTAAACATCTTTTTCTCTGCAGTGCAGAAATAAATGTAGTTGTTGCAAAAAGAATGTTTCAAATCAAAAATGGATAACAATGAAAATATCCTTTTGATGTCTTATATTTGGTACTAGTTATTTGTATAAAAAGTAGTAAGATTCCGAAATAAAATTGACTATTTCATGTTATTTCTGTTTAATGCTCTTAGTATAGTTTTCAAAAAGATTTGGTAACTTAAATTAGTTAACTGAACAAATATATAAAATAAATTAAAATAACACTATTACTCCACATGGAGTGGTTTTTGTTTCTCTTTTACATTAGAGATGAATTTTTTTTTCATATACATATTGCTCTTCCTTACACTGTCAATTTGATTTAATTTTAGAGTAAGAAATAGAGCAGATCCTGAAAAACTGAAACACAATTAGAAAATGCTGAAAACACTCAAGACAGGCAGTATCTGTGCAGCATGTAAGAGTTAATATTTTAGAACTCAGAACTGAAACATGAACCCTACTTTTGTGAGCATTGACTTTGAGAAGGTGGCACTAAGTCACCTTGAACGTTGGAGTCCATGTGGTGTAGGTAGAGCTACTGTCTTATTAGGGAGAAGGTACAGGATTGTGATTGAATGATAGTAAAGGAGTGGTGATATAATTCCAAGCCAGCATGGTCTGACACTTGGAGGGGAACTTGCTGGTAATGGTGTTCCAATGCATTTGTTGTCCCTATTCTTCTAAGTGGTAGAAATTGTGGGTGTGGAGGTACTGTTGAAGGAGGCTTTGCAAGTTACTACAATGCATCTTGCAGATGGTGCACACTGCTTCCACCGTGTATCAATGGTTGAGGCAGTGATTGTTCAAGTTGTTTAATATGGTGCCAATCAAGAGGTCTGCTTTATCTTGTGTGACGTTGAGCTTCTTGAGAGATGTTGAAGCATCACTCATCCAGGCAAGTGGAGAGGACTCCTTCACACTACTGACTTGGGCATTGTAGATGATTGTCAGACTCTGGGGAGTCAAGAGATAAGTTTTATGTACTGCATATCCCAGCCTCTGAGCTACTCTTGTAGCTACAGTATTTATGTGGCTGGACCAGTTCAGTTTCTGGTCAATGGCTTTTGATGATGAAGTGTTCAGTGGTGCTGTTGAATGTTAAGGGGAGATGGTATTATTCTCTCTTGTTGGAGATGGTCATTGCCTGGCACTTGTGTGCCATGAATTTTTCTTACCACCTATCAACGTACAGCTCAGTGTTCTCTACTAGGTCTTGTTGCATGAATGCACAGACTGCTGCACTATCAGAGGAATCACAAGTGGTATTGAATACTGCATAATCATCAGCGAACATTGCACTTTTAACCTTATGTTAGAGGGAAAGCCATTAATGAAGTGACTAATGTTTAGGCCTAGGGCTGATACTTGACCAGATGAGTCTTTTCAGCATTTTCTGTAGTTTGTGGAGAGTTGCAAGTAGCTTCATTCCTTGAGTAAAGTCTGTGTAACACACAACTCAGCATGAATTCTAGTGCTTGAAGCCAACTTTAGAAGACAACTCAGTTTAGTAATAAAAACAAAACTCATTAAACACAATGCCTGGTGTGTTAGTCACAGAATAAAAATACTGCAGTTACAATTAGGGGACCTGGCATCAGTTGGCAGTTTCAACTGAAACTTTAGATTTAAAAAAAAAATTAAGGGTCAAAGATCTTTTGAAAGTTTTCCTGTTTTTGCAATATGACCAGACCTTAATTACCAGGCAAGTAGTAACATGCTGCCAGGCCTCTTGTAGTACTGCTTGTGTGTGTGTGAATATACCTCCAAATGACTGATTTTCCTTTTGTCCTTCAAGAAAGCAATCCAACATTCCGGAAAATGGGCAAGACTGAAACTGGTAACTCACTAGAGTTCCACAGGAATAAACCTATGTCATACTATTTAAATATTTCCAATGTTAAACTGTTATACCAATCAATGCCCCACTCTATAACATATAGTAGATTTGCTGATTAAATCATTAAAAAATGCTAGTGAAACTCTACTACTCTTTTGGACCAGTAACAAAGTTTCGTCCCTTGTCTCTGATAGCAACATGCACTGTCTTTGCTGAATGACTGACCCAGGTGATTAAACAGCCAGATAATAATTCAACCACAAATATCCCATCTGATTAACTCCCGATGCAGAAACATTTCCCTTTCCCAGAGATATATCTCATTTGTCCAATTACCTGCAGCTGCTGAATGTTTAACTCTCTGAGAATTCCTGACATATTGTGTTGTGGAAGATTCTGGCTTCCTTAAAATTAGCTAAATAACACTAAACAAAGTGAAATGTCAACACAGAGTTGACGGTGCCACAGTCATATGTCTCAACCTCTCTCCTCAGAATCGCCTGCTATTTATGGGACGAGTATCTCTTTCAATCCTGTCACTAATCACCAGTGAAACCACCAGAATACTGGGGACATCCATATAACTTCTATTTATACATAAGGTCTGATGTTGCTGTGGCTATAAATCTGTCCTGTACTCCTGGAAATATTGCCCCCTTGAGGAGCGGTCTATAACTGCATCCAAAATGTTTGAAATCATGCCAAGAAACACAGTGTCAAGGCAAACAGCTGTTCAAAAAGGTTAAAGTTTGTGTTGCCGTTGTTTTCATACTAAATAAAGTAATCTAGCAAATCATCTGTGTGTTTTTACCATCTATTTTTAACAGTCATAATCAGCTCAAAATTGCAAATATAACTATGCAAACCAGCTTTTGTCAATTATGCAAAAATTAATATCACTATTAAAGGTTTGTGAACTCAATAGGTCATCCTCAAATTACTATGAAATGGACCAGTCCCTCTGATACTTTTAGGTCTTTTAACAATGAGACCAAGGCAATGTTAAAGGAATATTGCTCAAGTTAATACAGCAGTAATTCCAACATACTTTTAGCTCTTGATTGTACGTCTTCTTGACAAGTCTACAAGGTGGACAGTGCTCCATTTGTTTAGTTGGAAAACATCATTCTGGAATATCACTGTGCAATCAGAAGCACAGCAATTGCAAAAGATTGCCACCATTCACTCATGTTAAGTATGCACGCAGAATGTCCTGTTTCTTGCTATTATGCTCAGTACTATAGAATTCTATGGAAGGATTCAAAAGCAGCTTTAACATCAACAAAATGCTCAACAAGTAAAGGGCACAGTTCTGAAAATCAAGGTATCACTTGACAGAAACTTAATGTACTGAGCTGCACTTTTTCTGGGAAAGAAAGCTAGCTCCATTTCCACTGCTAATTATTAAGGTTGTTTAAATACAGCGTTTGTGAATTCACATCTAAATCAACCGAGAGTTCTTCAGGAACTGAATAAGGACCTGGTAGACAAACTTGTACTGGGCTATTGTCTGAACCATTAACATTCTCTGTTGTCGGAGAAATCCCAGCATTGCTGGCACTTCCAGCTTCTGAAACAGAACAGCAATGGCAAAATGTTAATACACAAACTGATAGGTTGTCTTAAAAATCCAATGTAATACAGGAAAATAGATTAAAAAAAAACAAGTATTATACCCAAGAATAAGAGCTTTGAAAAAGGTAGTTTTTGTTTCAAAGATTCCACAATACGTTTTTCATAATTATTCCAAAGTTGAAAATAGTCTGATTAAAGTTTTGTTGCTTTTCTCATTTATCCCAAGGGTGGACTTTGATATTGGATAACTAACACTGACTTTCAGAAATAATAGATTCAATTAAAGAACACAAATAATGCACTCCAGATGGGGTGCAGAGTGTGTGGAGCAAGATATGACACAGCCCAGACCCTGAAGACACAGTGATTGCCTTGAAATTTTAAACCATCTCCTCTACATTAGGCACTTCAGGCGAATTAAATACTTTGTTTTTAAGGAGCAGGGGAGAATGACGGAGGGAGAAGGAGGAAATACTCAGCACTTGATCCTTACTGCCTGCTTATATTATTAAGTTAAAGAAAGGAATACCCACAGAAATGTTCTCAGTCACATCCTTTATGGCTTCACAGCCTCTTTTGAAAAAAAAAGTCTGATGGACAGTCATGCCACCTGCTTATATACAACAACTGATAAGCATCCTTGTCTGTCTTATTTAGTTAGCTTCAGAAAATACACATTTATTATTTTGTGCTGGATTTTCAGCTTTAGCTCATTCCATAATAAGGGTCCAACAACAATGACAAAACTGCAGATTCAAAGATGCAGTATGATGTTCCAATCTTTTATAGGAGCTACGGATTAAGTTGGCAGTTTACAGGTTTAGATACATAATTTGTACTAATGGTTTTCCAAATAGGTATGAGATATTATGTGCAATAAAAATCTGATGTTTCCAATTTTATAAATTTCATTGGATTTTCTGTGTTATATCCTGGTTTCCCAGTTTGGAAGCCGGTAAATATGTACTGGAATAATCAAGCCAAGAATAAAGAATAACCTAATAACCTAACCATCAACCTAATATGATTGTTGCTAGTTCCTAATGTAAAATTTTTCATAATAATTCAAAATCTTCCAAAACAAGTAAGGCTAAAATAATGACTTTAATATTAGATAATGACTTTAATACTAATGTCAAGAAACAGATGCAAACTGATATGCAAGATGGGTTGGAAGTGGAGAGATTTTTTTTCAAAAAATGCTCATGGAATTGTGGATCAGTGGCAAACTAGTACTTATTGCAAATTTATGGAGAAGGTTCAATCACTAAAATACTAAGTTTACGAAAGTGCACACAATGAATACTCGTATTCATTGGAAAAGAACATCAGTGCTCAGGAATGCAGGCAAACGAAATAACCAATAAAACAGTACAAAGTACTGAGGCCAACATGGAAGAAAAGTGGTCAACATTCTTTTCTCCTTCTATCTTCAGTCTATTTCTGGTTGTCAGGCTACTTAATTAGAAGCAGAACTCAACAACGACATAATGGCTGTTCCATTTTTATGCAACATACAGATGGTTTGGAAACACTGTGTAAAATTTGGTGAAGACCAAATCGATAAACTAACTGCTAATCAGCACACCATGGGTTAAAAGTCGATCAAATGCATTTTCAAAACCATCTGTTGCACTCACCTCATTATGCTCCAAACAACCAACCATAACTTCTGTTAGAATCACCACTCCTGTTCTTCCAGCTCCTGCACTGCAATGCACAACTACAGGTGGGTTGCAGCTCTTGGTAGAATCCAGCATGCTATTGGTATGTCGACGGACAGATTGAATTTCTTCGAGATAAGCTGAAAAATTAAAACAGAAAGGATTGATGGTCCAAACAAAAACTTGGTGCTGGAGGTTGCAGTAAGTAGTTTGCTGGCTGTCAATATTGCAAAACTGACCTCGAGCTGGATGAAACAGTTAAACTGGCTACAATTTAGTAAAGAGAAATGCCTGAAATGCTGAATATAAAAGAAGATTTAATGTTCTTCCACCCGAATTCTTCACCTGCCAGCATCCACAACCGCTGCGAACCTATCCCCAATATGACACCTCCTTTCAAGGGCCATCTTTTTAATAACTGAAAGCAGTTTGTGAAGGCAAATGATTAGTGACTATTTAGGGTATTTTATTGGCATTAAACTCGTCTGTAGCAATTTCACTCAATAAAGTGAAAATGAATTTAGGTGGTTGCAAACCACCATTTGGAGTTCTACGGCAGATCATGTGAAATGCCTAGAACTTCAAGGGCAGAAATGATTATACACAAAGTCATGGTTAGCCCAGTCATAGGAATCTAATAGGGATTTGAATTTTTCCCAAAATCCAGCATGATTTTTTGACAGCTGGCTTTTGATTTTGTCTTCCAAGGATAAAACCAGATCTCAAAGTTCAGTTAATATTATTTACAACTGAAGTTCAATTTTTAGGCATTATAAGTGAATTTGTTGTAAAATTATTTACTTTTGTATGGCATGCAAATGAGTGCATATATGAATAATGAATTTGGAGCAACTTCAGTTCAGTGGATTCAGGTGAAACGCAGTGTACTTCCATGTCAAGAGAGCTGTTCATCTCAAGGCAGCTTCTTCAGGTCATCACATTACAGCTTGACAATCTTCGGTAATTTATTCTTTCAATATGTTAAAAATGGGTAATGTGGTGGTTGGTCACATATACAGATAATTTTTTAGGGTTCAGAATTTCTGGCTTAATTGGGTTTTAATCTCTGTTATCCTTGTAATGTCCCATCATCTGTAAAAATAGATGTTACAGCCATCTATCTAACTGCTTTTATGTGAATAAAGTTGCCAAATGGCCTCATTATGAATGTGTGGCTGAGTTTTAAAAATGACATATTTGCTTAGCTCAGCAAGCAATATTAACAGCCACAGAGAGGGCTGGAAGCTACTTACTATTCACATCCTTAGCATCTTGCAATTATTTATTCTTTCAGAGATTTGTCAATGCCTGTGTGTTTATTTATAGAAGATTAAAAGGTGTAAAATGGATAAAAGCTTTTTTGTCAATAATTCTGTGGCTGTGGTTGATTGACCATTTTGAAGATGCAAGCTGAGCTGTCCCTGTTATCAGCAGATTTTCAAAACTCTTTTGCTTATTATGTCAGTTTCATGAGCATTTCAAGGACTTTCCAGACTTGTAAATGGCTCATTTTCTGGTGTAAATGGTAGATTATGGGGAGACTGGACATAGTGGATGCAAGAGGAGCACTGGAGCATGGAGATTCCAGAGAGTTTTGCAGAAGCATTGAAGGTGGGGGTATAATGTTGGGATGGTTGGATTTGACAGGGATAAGGAATTGAGAGCCTGAATTTTATGATCAGCTATGCTGATGTCCCACAAACAAAGTAAATCTTCTAGCCAGAGGGACTCCCCATCCTGCACTGCTATCTCAAGCCTGCCTCTAGTGGCAGTGGTCCTAACTCCATCCCACTCATGCATTCCTGGAATGAAAATATGGAGTATAGAGGTTTCCTTATTGGGAATGGGTTTGCAGGATCAGGACCTTTCCTGACTCCAGTTATCCATCTTCTTGATGAAAATCCAGCTCAATATGTCTGCAGGTAGGAGCAGCTTCCAGAGAAGGAGAATAAAGTTCAGAGTTCAAGCAAATGATTATTAGGAAGGGAAAAATAATTGATAGAATACTTTAGACTTGTGTTTTGTTTATTCTTTGCACTTCGCCACTGGGTGATATTGGCATGGTAGTATGTATTTGCCATTTCCAGATGTCCTAAGGACATCAAATACTGATTAGCTTATAAATATTCCCTTGTACTAAGCCTTTGAAAACCAGCAATTAAATATTAAAATGTATCTAACATAATTACTTCTATTTCCACTGCACAATTAGGCAAGCAGTAATGTCATTCACAACTAAGACCACCTATACAACATACTTGGCACATAATTGTATGAACCATCCTTCCTCACAGCATGTTCTCTATTTTAAAATGATTTATTGCAGTTTTTCAATTACTTAGTTCCCATATGGAAGGAATAGTTATTTTAAAAAGAAAAGGTGATGCATCATTTAATAGTATTCTTTGAAGAGTCATTGTGGTTATGCGTACTTGGGGATGAAATATAGTATCAAACTGCTTAACTCTGGAGTTTTGTTGAGTCTGGTCTCTAGGATCAATTTGAGATGGTATCAAGAAAAAATCCTGTGCCATGTTGTTACAGTTGTAAGTGCAACATTTGACTTTGCAAATTTTAGAATGCTTGCCTAAACCATGAAGTGAAGTTGGCATTTCCTGAGAGGTGCGAGAAATTCAAATGTTCTGCCTATCAACCAAACAGCAACATTATAACACAGTGTTATCTGGCTGTGTCTTGAATTCTGAAGCAAAATGTTCAAGGTTTTTTTTGACCTTGGGACCACACAAGTAGGTGCTTATCATGGAGTGTAAAATGTACCTCCATTCTGCTATTAATTTACATGCTTCTTGATTTACTTTAGTTAATCAGTCCGATTTAGAATTTATCCAACAATAAGTCTAAAAACAGCATTTTCCAAAACTCCAGCCACACAAAATTTAAGTGGGGCCAGTAACTAGTAGGAAACATTGCATTCTTTTGGTTTCTTGGATCAGATTGCCAGCTACATATGTTCTATAGACCACAGTTTAAATATTTTATAAATGTTGTGCTTTAAAGCAAACAGTGATATTTAGTATACAAATGCTTTACACTGGATTCTAATTGAGACTTATTAAAAAAATCAATTTATTGAAATGATAAAGTTAATGCTTCATTTTGTTTGGCCTACGTTGCAATATATATTGTGGTACTTACACAAAAAACCCTGTACATCTTCTGGGCAGCCATGGTCTGGCCAATCAGTGTACTGCAAGTGCCACACAGTCCTTTCCTGTCCAGACAAAAGGTGCTTGACCTTTAAACCTGTAGTTGCATAGCAACCAGAGTCTGTACGGAATTTGGTTGTCACCTTAAACTTCCCATAAGTTGCTGAACTGTGCTTCGAGCCCAGTTTGGGCCAGTATCGATGGGTCTTTGGTTTTCCTCCCTCCTATGTGAGAAAGGATATGTTCATTAATGTTAGAACGCTTAATTTCAGGATTATCATTTTAGAAAGAAAAATATAATTGATCATAATTTCCTTCAAGCAGTCCCTTTACACATCACTAATCATCATGTAGAAAGAATAAACAAATGTGCTAAAGATTATATTTTTTTAAAAATAACAAAATCCTATTTCCTGAGACAGTTTACTTCTTAAATGTCAGAGCAATGATATTAGTTTATTTACAGGAGGAATTAATTCACCAAGAACAGCTGAATGATAATTAGGAAACAAAATCTTTTACTGTGGCAGTATAAGTAGGCTATAAGATCAATCTGCCAATAGATTGCGGAACACCAGAGAAACAGCTTGAGTATTTGAAGGAGGGATATGCAATTAACACACTGAAAGAAATCATTTTACCATTTTGCCTCCTCCCTTTCCAGGAACTGTATGGTATCCCCTAGGTCATGTTGCTTTAATTGAAGATATGCATTTGTGAAAGATTTAATGTAGTTCAGGTTTATGAAGACCGGGACAAGATGTAAGTATTTACTTCAATTCTCTTTAGACAACGCTTACAATCTCCACAAGATCCCCACTATACAAGCTCTCTACAACATTTCCTGGCCAATAGTGACACTACATGACAGAAGCTACTATACAGTTTTAAAACTGCAGTTATGGAACTACTGGTTCAGATTTCAAAATTCAGAAGTGATAAGTGACATTGGGTCCTAATATTGCTTTGTCCCATTTGACATTCCGTATATACCACTGAATAGGAAAGTAGAGGACAGGCACCATCAATATCTGATCTACTTGAACTTGATACTTGAGATTAGCATTAAACCTGGCTTGTTTTCCCTTTTATTTAAGGTACTTTGGTTAGTTCATATTGATATCTTCACACTTCAAATGGGCTTATTCACCTCAACTTTGGTGACTTCTTTCCCCTAAATGAAGTAATTTTCTTTATTCTAAACTTGAACAAAGAATGACAGCAGTAGTGTGATACCTGGTCATATGGTCCCAGCAGAAATTTAATCTTATAGCACGCTTGTGGCCAAAAGAAACTGAGCAGTCCCTCTACCCATTTGTTATTTTACATATGTTGGATAAGGCGTTTTCTGTACTTGAGATAACACAATGAGAAATGCTTCCAAGTGAAACATTGCAAGTTCAAAACCTTCAAACCACCACGCATTTACACCCATCAACAGGAAGTCTTAACAGCAAAATGAACATTGTGTTCAACAATTTCCTGCAGTGTCCTTTGTTAGAAATATTAAACACAAAAACACAGAACTTACTTCTTCCGCTGTAACCATGACAATAACATTCACTCCTTGCTCCCAAACCATTTGCCAGAAGTCATGGCATGTATGTGGCAGGGGTCCCTGTGTGGCAATATAGTGCCAGTCCTCTCCAGCAACTGTAACCTGACAATTATACACAAGAAAATATAAACAAACAGTCTGCATGAATTAGTATTCTCCATTATGTGCTTGAAAACGATCTCCCCATTCCAACTACAAAAAGCATACCATCTATTTGAAAAAAAAAATAATTTTCTTGAAAGACTGTGCAGCACAACATGGCAACACACCATTTGTTAACACTGGCACGTGGGTAAGAACGCATTCAGGCTGATGAAATAAATTTTCCAATTTGCTGGCTACAGTGGTCCTTTGTGTAGATTGAGTTGTGGCAATTAATTCCTCTTTCAAGTAAACATGGGGCCATGGCATAAAATGAGCTGGAATTTATGACTGTTGGTAAATGAGCTCAGAAATGTCACATGGTAAATGATAGTGAAATATGACACTGATGCAATAAGCAGTGTTCTTGTGATGCTGGCATGGAGACATGTTGCTGGTTATAGAATAGCTAGTCTACATCTAAAAGCCAGACAGAGGCAAAATTTAATTCTGGCTTTGGTCTTTTTTTGGGGGGAGGTGGGTAGGGAGATAATAACTCCCAATGTTTGGAAAATCTGGGGGAATCCTGCAGTACTTATTTCTGGGAGACCAGATACAATAGCCAGGCAATTTGGCATATACTTGGGCAGTATTTGGCGCCACACATGACCTAGTTCCCAGTAAGGCAGAAATCCCACTTCTAAGCAGTGCGGGCCAGAAGCTGGCAAATCTCCTGGACCAGCAGCACCACCAGGAGCAGGGCCACTGCTAGTATAATATTTGGGCTGAACTCGAGGATTGTGGCTGGATCCCCAGATAGAGGTGACTGTGGATGAGATGGGGGTCTGCTAGGAGGTTACTAGCAGTGGATTGGAGGTAAAGAGGGTCAAAGGCAAAAAGCAGGTTGGTTGTTTTCAGTGAGACTCCTATGGTGATGTGGGGTCCCTCAACTGGGCTGAGTGCCTGAAAACAAAGGAACTACCCCAAAGAGACCACAGGAAAATGGGACAGTCTCCTTGCATGACAAGTCCCTGCCTGCTTGCAGGAAGTGGCTACTTACGACCCACTCAACTGGCCTCGAGCCAGGAAGGCCATCCTCCAGCCTCCTGCCCTGAGACTGATTGAGTGGAGGAATTAAGGTGCTGTGGTCCATGTCTCACACCCTCTTGCCCAATCAAAAGGCTCACCCCAATGCTCCCCCACCTCCGATCCCACTTACAAGAGTGGGGAGGGGGGAGGTCATTAAATTCTGCACAACATCTGCTGTGGTAACAGACTCCTTTTGTTAAACTGACATAATATTGCAGAATAACATTTCCCTCTTTAAAATGGGAAGGTTTCTGGCCTTATTAAATAACAAATATTATTCAACAACACAACAATGCTATTGACCTATTTTCAGTCTCTATTGGACAGTGGTTCACAGAATCCATTTAAGTAATATATGTACAGAATGTCATATGTAGAGGAGGCAAAAAACCTTTCATTGGGTAGAATGTTGGTGTAACATAGTACAAACAGGAATGATTCTGGATTTACCAATAGTAAAGATATATAGATAATATGGGATATTGGGTGTTCAGTAGTACAAAGGTAAAGGTTGATAACATATCCTTGACTTGAACCAGTCTGATCGAAGTAGACCCTTAAGTAATAATCAGCAGCTTAAGACCTGCTTCCTACTTTGTGGGCCAAGCAGTATAAAGTACCAATGTAAGTTGAAGTTGAGAACACAAAGGAACTTTTTTCATTTATGTTTCATGTTCTATTTGTTAAAAGTCTGTGTGGCAAACATGTGGTTAAGACTTTCAATGATATTATGAACCACTGTACCTCTCTTGAAAGTATATTCAATATAATGATCTTCTTGCCTGCTTTGTAAGTTATCACAATATCAGACAATTAACCAATTTTGACACACTAGTTCAATTTACTCAGATGCAAAACTTGGTAGAATGAACTGAAGTCACAGAACAACAACACTAAAAGGCTTTACGCAAGATATTTTTAACTCATTGTGCCAGTTTCAGGAGAAAGCTTTATATCTGATGGTAGCCAAAAACAGCATAGGCATTCACATTCACAGTTCCTAAGATCCCAAAACAGCAGTCCTCTGCTATTGATGGACTAATGGGTTAGTCACAGTGCTGCTCATGAGGGAATTGAGGGTCAGGTTTCCTGGCTACTGTTTTAAAACGCACTTACAATTATATCACTTAAATATAATTTGTGAGGTTTTGCTTTGATGTACCATGCAATGTTACATGGAATACTGCCATTTTTCTAATGGCTAGATTGAACTGAGAACAGTGAAATCATTCTGTTGCTCTCTACAGTTGGTATCATTGTTCTTATGAAGGTCGACTGTTGGCTGTTTCTGTTGCTAAAAGGGGGTGCAGTTGATTTTATCAGTTTGGTTTTAAGTACAAAATCAACACATTTTGTGAGATCGATTAAAACATGGGAATCCCATGAAGTTCGAGTTTGATCCATTCCAATATGAAGTATCATTGAGTGCAGTGTAAATGTCTATGTGCAGCAATAACCTAATGACTGTTAGCCTCTAGTTGTTGGGGGAAAAATTAATAGAGAGGAAACACTTTCACAAATATAACAAAATTGAGGAAAGTAAAAATACCTCTGGGGCCTGTTGAAATTCATTCTACAAATCACTCACCTGCTGATTTCAGGTCACAGGCCTGGTAATATAGTCCTTCCAGAAAGTAAGATTTATTGTATCTACTTTTAAGAATAGATTTCTAACAATTAAGGACTTTTATCGTGATTGAAGATGCACAACTTTCACTCAAAATAAAAGCTACAAGTGAATGCTCAAACAAAAATAAAGCAGCCTGAAGGGATATAATTCTAACCAATCAACCAGTTGGTAAATCATTATTGGAACTGCCCACCTATCTAAGAACAGTATGTATTCAGGATGCATACACAAAAGACCCAATGTTGAATGTGAACAGACCCTAACCCATCAAACTTTGAAACAGTTATCAACATCAGTATGGGCAGTGAAATAATAGTGATTCAACTCATGCTTACAAAAATTTGATAAAGTGATTCTTTATGAAATATCACTCCACACATTACTTCTCAACTAGTTTTCAAAAATATACATGAACAACGATAAGATAAACCTTTGTAAATATACACCATAAGTTGAGGCTCATGTGTGACTGTGATATTCAGGAGTTCTAACGTAACATTTACTGTAATTTATGGAAACATATGATGGCACAACATTGCCAATGCTTTAATCTTTAAAAACATTCTCACCTTGATGTGGGAGGCATTGACATAGCCAGTATTGTTTTCTTTGGTTGGCACAAGTTCCACCCTGTTCTCCTCATATGGAACAACATCCCTGAAACGATTCCGCTCTGCATTTTCTGGAAGAGTTGCTGTGGTGAAAACACCATCTACCATCTTCTTTGGGATCTGCTCATATTCTGTAAACACCATATCTTCTTCCAGCTTTCTTTCTAGCATTCTGCACTGCATTTCCACGGAAATGAAAGGTGCCATTAGTGGAGTTCCATTCAATGTCTTGAAAGTAAATGGTAAATGCAATAACAGCAGGCACATTAGAAATATTTTCAATCATTTTTGCTACTAAATGGTAGGGAGACAATAGAGGGATTAATATCGCAAGTTGCAAGATTGGCTCTGGACAAATCTTCTAAGATAGTTTGGCCCACACAGTTTTTCAACAACACAGTAACTCATGGGGACAACCTGTGAAACAACATGAAAATTACTTTTTTTTTAAACTTTGCAGTGGTATGATTTTATTTCATTATATTTGGTTTAATTTTTGAGACCTCTTTCTGTCAGTCTTAGGCTATGTCTTTTATAATGAAAATATTGATTTCTTTTATGTACTATAGATTATGGTAGTAAGCTACAATATTTATTTGAATTTCATCTATCTTCACATCTTGGTGTCCTTCCAGTTTAATTCAATAAGGGTGGAGCTATACATTTTGCAGATGTGGTTTTCTCGATATCTCACATGATATATTCTACTCACCAAGAATTGTGTGAATGGAATACATTTTTAAAAACTACTTTTTAAAAAAAAGTCACAAATACAAAACATCCAAATTTGTTTTGTCCAAGATTTAGTAGATTTAGGGGGTAAAATTAGTCTAAGTCAGTGGTGTGACAGGGTCATCGCTAATCAGCAACTGATTCTATCCCCCCCAACACTTTCCAATTCAAACCCTTTTTGGAGATTTGTTCCATAGTTGCAATGATCATTTTATTTGTGTTGAAATTAAAATTCTTCACAATACTTTCCAAGGCAATGGAATATAAAATCTGGTGCTGTTGATTCCAGACTGTCAATTTGTTACAAACCCATCTCTCCGGTACAGACCAATTTTATCCCCTCCACATTTAACGCTCTATGAAATTCAGACACATACTCACTAGATGGCGCCAGGGCACACATTTCTCAGTTCACATGCAATATAAGACCAGAAGACATTGGAGCAGACATTAGGCCATTCAGCCCATCGAGTCTGCTCTGCCATTCAATCATAGCTGATAAGTTTCTCAACTCCATTCTCCCACTTTCTCCCTGTAACCCTTGATCCCCTTGACAATCAAGAACCTATCTATCTCCATCTTAAATATACTCAATGACCTGGCCTCCACAGC